TCTCCAGCATAGTGAAAAGAAAACCCACAAACTGGGAAAAGATTTTAGTGAACTCTCTCTCAGACAAGGGACTCTTGTCTAAAACATATAAAAAATTAAAAGAACTCAGACCTCCAAAATTCAAAGATCCAATCCAAAATGGGCATCTGAGATGAATACGCAATTCTCAGATGAAGAAATGCAAATGGCAAATAAATACATGAAAAAATGTTCATCATCATTGGTCATTAGAGAAATGCAAATTAAAACCACACTGAGATACCATCTCACTCCTGAAAGAATGGCCAGGATCAAGAAAACCAACAACAACAAATGCTGGAGAGGCTGTGGGGAAAAAGGAACTCTCCTGCAATGTTGATGGGAGTATAGACTGGTACAGCGTTTGTGGAGATCTGTCTGGAGATTTCTCAAAAAGTTGGGATTGGAAATCCCATTTATTCCAGCTATTCCACTTCTAGGCATATTCCCAGAAGAACTGAAAGCATCATACCACAGTGATACATGTGCACCTATGTTTATAGCAGCACAATTTGTAATCGCCAGATCTTGGAAACAACCCAAGTGTCCATCAACTGAGGAATGGATAAAAAAGTGGTGGTATTTCTATACAATGGAGTATTATTCAGCTATAAAGAAGGATCACATTGAGATATTTATCAATAAATGGGCGCAGCTTGAGACCATACTCATAAGTGAAATAAATCAATCTCGCATGTGTGAATACCGAATAGTTTCCCTAATGTAAGTAATGATTCAAATATATAAAAATATGTGGTAATCATGATTCCCCATTATGTGGCCTTGAAGCCTTATAAAGTTTTCACTTATTAATTGGAAAGGCTTTATTCTGGGCTTCTTGATATGGAAATATTTGAAGCTATAGTATATGAAGTTTTATCCAAATATTTCAAGGAAAAAGACAGACACTATGGTAACTACTATTAAGTCGGGTTATTTGGTGGTGAAGCACTAGGTTGCTGAAACAGTCATGCTTTGACCTGTATTGTTATATTGTTATGTCCTGTTTTATCTCAATCTCTCCCTTATTCTTTAAAAAAATTATTTAGTTATTTCTTATATTTGTTTTAATTAAGGGGAAAAATTAAAAAAATTAGGATATATAATAGTAACTCTTTTTGATTTCCTATTAACTTGTTTTGAAGTCCTGTAATACTTCCACGATCTTGTTTTGACTGATTAGACTCTGTTCCATTCTGTATGATAGTATCAAGTTTGAGGGTATAGGCAACTACTTTGAAGGCAATAAGATTCACTAAGATGCCCATTTTGGTTTGACTATTGTCTCCTTTGGAAGTCCTGTAATGTATACAATGCCTAAGTTTTATTGGCCTTGTCCTCTACTGTTTTGTCCAACTTTATAATATCTAATGAGATAGACAATTCTTTTTAAGGAAACAAGAGACAACGTTGATAACCATTGTTGATAACCTTGTACTCTGTTCTACATCATGTGCTATGTCTATCCTTGGTTTTGACTGACAGCTTTGTTTTGCCATATTTGACTTTATTCTCTCTCCCCCCAAAAAGTAATAAGAACTAAGGAGTAATAAAATCCAAAATGTGTAAATTTTGTTGTAAAAAAGAGAGGGGAAAAAAAAAGAGCTCTAATGGATATAACAGCAAGTGTGTTTAGGGGTGTTAAATAGCTGACTATATTAATGTTTTTGGATCATTGAACACAGCTGTTTGCAGTCTCTCTGTTTGAATGTCCACTTTGTATTCTTTGATACTATGATTTGAGCATCTATTTCTAAGAGGATAATATGTAATCTATTAACAGGTGATTTCTTAGTGTTTTGGTTTTTTTTTTTTTGTTTTGTAGTTCTGTATTACGTGTAACCTTATACCGCTTTGTTCTCTTTTGTGTTTTTCTCTTTTTCCTCTTAAATAAAATTTAAAAAAAAAGATTAATGGAATTGACTTCAAAGTTATTTAGAGCAAATTAGAATGTAGCAAATTCAGAATAGACAGGCTGTTGCAGTATTGTCCAAAAGACTGTCCCATGTGGGAGAGTTTTAAAACTTGAACTGTTGAGAGCTAAATATGCAGATCATCTTATTTTTACTAATCAAAAACATTTTGACACATATTTGAAACTAGATGTTTTCTCTAATGTTATGTTAGTTTTGTTTTTTCTCTGATCGTATGTATTTTGTTGGACAGCTCCTAAGAGCTTATGGTATATTAGAAATAAATAATTCATCTTTGATGTTACAATTTTTTGTTGCCCAGAAAGTGCTTGAATTTTATTTTATTTTATTTATTGTTATTTTCGACAACAGGAATGGAAGTTAGGACCTTGTGCTTTCTAGGCAGGCGCTTATGCCGCTGAGCTAAATTCCCAGCCCCCAAGAGCTTGGATTTTAAAGTAGCATCTTAGACATCTATGAACAACATTATTGTTTCATTTCATTTCATTCATTGATTTATTGAGACAGGGTTTCGCTGTGTAGTTCAGGTTGGCTTGAACTTGTGGTGATCCCAAATTCTGGGATTATAGACATGTACCACCACACCTGGTTTATGATCATTTTATTACAGTGACATTTTTATGAATGGTGTAATCTGAGTTATTTTGTGGTGGTCATTTTTAAGTTGCGTCTTTCTTGACTGTGAATTTTAGAACTCAGTTGTTTGCTGCAAGGTTATTCTGATAATGCAAGAAAGGCAATGTATTTTTAGCATTTTGTAAATGGAAGGCAACTTTATTTTGTTATTCTTTTAATTTGATTTTGTGGAATGGAGTTGCTGTCCTGGTTATCTTAATTTTTTTAAAATTTGGCTTAAGTCCAGAAACTATAATAGCAACAATTACTGAAATACTGAAGCTCTTCTAATGATAGCCACAGAGGCAAGAGGCTGAAAATCATTTATTTTTGCCTAATTTTTAAAAACGCATGCTTTTTTGCCCAGAACGCAATCACCGAACTGGGCAGCACAGGGATCCCTGACAAAAACTTTGGGTGACATTCAGGTCTCTGGGGAATAGCCTTTGCCTGCATGCTGGGAGCTAAGTTGGCACTGTTTTTTAAGGGCGAATTTTCTTTTTTTTCCTACTTACTTGAATTAAAACAAATAGGAAATGCTGTATACTTGTAAATTTGGAGTTGGGTGAGGCCCACTTTTTGTAAATAATGTATCTTTGGTTTTGCAAACTGTGTTAACTGGGAAAGGGAGATTGGAGACTTTCATCACACTCCTCAATTGTGTGTTCATTCCATGTTTCTTCTTTCAAAAATAATTGTAGCCAGGTATGGTGGTGCACGCCTGTAATCAGCACTCGGGAGGCTGAGGCAGGAGGATTGCTGTGAATTGGATGCTAGACTAGATTACATGGACCCTGACTCAAAAAACTTAAAAGAAGTGATGACAAGATGTAGTTCCTGTCGGTATCCAGTCAGGAATAGTTTATTGATGTTCTCCTTTTTAATGGAAAGGTAACCATACAATACATTTCAGAATTTTAATAGGAAGAAAATCTAGGTTGGAAGTGAGGAATGTCCTAAGATTCTGACATACTGAAATGTGTAGCTATGTAGGTAGATTTTACACATGAGCTTATTTTTCTGGGTTGTTTATAGACAATGCTGCTTAGAAACCTAAGCATTGAAGCTTAAATTTTGCATGTAGTTACTTGTCAGTTTCTTCATTTTCAAGATGATAGGTAACAAAAACTCTGTATTTGGTGGGCATTGTTAATTAGGTAGAAGTTTCCCCCAGTTTCCTACTTTTACGAATGATTGTCCACTGTTGTGGATTCCTGCATACATAATTTGACCTTTTTAATACTTGAGAAAATAGGTGAACATCAAAACTTGAATTCAGTATCTGTTTTGAATGATCTTTTATCTGTGTCAAATGTGTTGAATTGCAGCAATATGCACTTGTATTTCCTTTGCAAAGTAGTTTACAGGATCCTGGGTACCATACAGACTTTCAGACTCCTGTAAAATGTAGGATGTGCAGAGGGGCCAGGACTCACTGCTCAGGAAGAAATCCCACTCACTAGTGGGGCGCAGCAGTGACACAAAGACAGCACATTATAGCAACACCCTGCCCTGCCCTGCCCCTGCCCTGCCCCTGCCCTGGTGATGAGACTTCTTTTGGCAGGTTGAACTATGAACTATATATATGTTACCTTCGTGCTGCAGTTCAGGCATGTTTCTTTCATTCTTTTTTTTTTTTTTTTTGTCTTTTTAAGACAAAGTCTAGTTATGCAGCTCAGGGTGGCCATGCACTCACTTTGTGGCCTATGCTGGTCTCAAATTTGCAGTGATGCTCCTGTCTCAGCATCTTCAGTGCTGGGATTACAGACGTGTGCCACCATGCCTGGCTTTTTTTTTTTTTTTTTCCCTCTTTAAAATGTAGTTTCTAACTTAGATTTTTAAAACAATTGAAGCAGTTAGATCTTTCCTGCCTTCTCATTTCTTTAGAAATATGCCTAACCCAGAAGGTAGGGAAAACCCTATTTGATTCCTCTGAAAAGTCTGGAATTTTAGCTGTGTGGAATTTGATCGCTTGTGCTTCATTTTTAAAAAGGTATTTCTTTTCTCAGATACATAGAAAAATGTGTCTTTGTCACTTAACAATAACATTACCATATTGATAGTTTCCTCCTTAAAACTAATTAGAGACACTGTTAGTTATTGTTTATTTTAAACCACTCATCTAATGTTTGTGTAATTTTTAAGTCATTAATAAGTATTTATAAAATTTTGCAAATGTCAGAAAATGTTTCTAATTTACTTGACAGTTTCCTAGCATTGGCATAGTATTGTGGCTGATAATTTGGGAGTCATGAAGGATTGTTGGTGACTCTTGGCCCAGTGCTGAGTGTGATGTTGATGAGGGTTTATCCTTTATCTTTGGAGGGAGGCACGTTGGATGCAGTTTTCTCACATTTACTTGGTTCTTGGTGCGTTATTATGGCTTCTCTTTGTTGAGTATCTGCGAATTCAGATTTAAATGCTAACCTTTAGGATAAAGACGGAGACAGGGCGGTTCACCATGCAGCCTTTGGAGATGAAGGTGCTGTCATCGAGGTGCTGCACCTGGGTAGTGCCGATCTGAATGCGCGCAACAAGCGCCGCCAGACACCGCTGCACATCGCTGTCAACAAAGGTCACTTGCAGGTTGTGAAGACACTGCTGGACTTCGGCTGTCACCCCAGTCTCCAGGTAGGACTGTGAAAGCTGTGCATTGTGCAGGCGTTGCTAGGACCCTGTGGAAGGGAAGCACTCAAGTCAGTCCTGAGGTCACCGGCCTTTGGTTACTTTTGGTATGATGAGTCATGATACAAGGTATTAAAAGTACAGGGCATTACAAAGTTGGCAGCTATGCTTTCTTGGAAAAATTTTTAAAATAAAGTGTCAGTAGGTGGAGGCGTGAAGTGAGAACTTGTAAAAAACATCAGCCTATCCATTTATTTAATTTTGTGGGTCATAACAATGCTCAGAGAACAAGCTATATTACAGATACTTCTTTTTGAGAGAGAGAACAGAGAGACAGTGTCTTGCTTTGTAGTTCAGGCTGGGCTCAAATGCAGTGTGTAGCCCAGGTTGGCCTCAGATTCACAGTGATCCTCCTGTTTCAGCCTCCCAAGTGGTAGGATTATAGGCATGTGCCACTATACCTGACTGATCCATATTGCATATGATCTACTTCATGACTATCCACAGCATTTCCATGGTTGCTTATTTTGTCTTAGGGTCTTGGTCTAGATATTTGTGTAGTTCTTGGAGATTTTCTCTTTTGGAATATATGTCATTTTTAGGGTTGATATTCGAGATGACCTAAATTTTTGATGCAAGGAATCTAATTTTGAAGCAAAAGAAAATCACCTAAGAAATGATTCTTCCTGGTCACAATGTAGCAACTAGTGAATTAAACTACATGTGTAAAGGAAATGTAGTTTTTGTCTGTAATCTCTTTGGTTACATTAAAATTTGGTATGAAAGCCTGATAGTTTCATAGCAGAATAGCACAATAATCGCCAACTCTTGGTTTGTTTTTTGCCTGTTTTCTGTTATGATCTTAACAGAACAGCCTCTTATTTTAAAGTGAAAATGGTACTTGAAATACTATTTTAACATGTAAAAAATACCTTATTTAAATTGGACCCTTAACTCTGAAAGAGATCATTAAGATTAATCTGCTCGTAGTTTAGATAATTCACAGCAGCCACAGAATTCACAGATTCAAGAGAAGTAATAAAGAAGAACAGGGATAGTGGAGGAAAGATTTTAGAACTGAAGGAATAGGAGACTTTGTTTACCTAGGTGGTTACTAAAAAAATAGTCTTCCTACAGTGCAGCCGTTTTGAAGCCATTTCTTTTGAGGACATTGCTCGTCAGTGGGTGACAGAATTAAAGAGTGAAGGGGGTGCAGTCTTCTGAGGGGGAGGGGTTTTTTCTGTTGGCTTTTCTGTGCGTGCTGAGGGGCTGGCTTACATGTTGGGAGTGTAGGTTGGGGCTGAGGTGGAGGAAGGCCATTGACAGCAGTGTCCCGGGGGCTTGGAGCAGGCCTTGTGAGCACCTGTGATGACAGACAGGCCGCGCCTTCTCAGGAGGGTGCAGGTGGACGCTCGGGTTGACGTTGACTGGGGATTCCTTATGTCGGTGGACACATATATTGCCTGTGATGGGCAGTCTCATTCTGGCCCTTGCCAGACAATATTGTCAATGTTCCTGTCCCTTCAGTCTCAGCGGTGCAGCTCTGTCAAGGTCCAGTGAAGCGGCTGTAGATGCTGCATCTATGAGTGCGCATGACTGTTCTGCTAGAACTTCATTTACAAAAGCAGGCGGCACTTGGGACTTGGCGACTGTGGTCTGTGTCACAGGATAGGCTGCATGTGACTTTTCTGAGAATTTGTGAAAGTATTAAGTAAGGATTGCTCATTGGTGCAGATGGCTGAGTAGGAGCTTATTGCTAAATCAGTTGATTACTGTAAAAAGTAGCTTGCAAAAAGGTAGGCTAAAACGCCTCAATTTTCATTTTTTTCTGCTTTGAACTAAGCGACTTTGCTGCGCTTTGAAAACTCTTATGGTAATGATTTTTACCTGTGACTACATAATGTGTGCCTCTGGGGAGCCTTGAAAGACTACAGCTGGTTCGTTCCTGCCCCAACAGATTCAGTTGGTTTGGAGAACATTCCTGGCTTCAGCGTTGTTTGGTTTTGGGAGAATGGTGCTCACTGAAGGCAGGGAGGACGGAGCTGTATCCCAACCACTTTTTGCTTTATTTGACCAGGGTCTTGCTGAGTGGCCTGTGTGGGCCTCTAACTCTCAGTCCCGCCTCTGCCTCTGGAGTAGCTCGTATTGGCCTTCCCCTACCATGCCTGGTGGTGCTCAGATTTTTAAGAGCTCTGTAGCACATTCCAATGTGTAGTTAGGGTTGAAAACCACTTGACTTTTAATTCATTGTTTGGGGACCCATCAGTGTGTAGTCTTGAGGAGAATTTTGGGATACAGCAGTTAAAGAAATGGTTTTATTTTAGTGTAGCTAACAATTTTTTTTTTTTTTTGTCTTTTTCATTTTTATCGGTACCAGGGATCGAACTCACGACTGCCTGCTTGCAAGGCAGGTGCTTATGGCTGCTGAGCTAAATCCCCAGCCCCAGTGCAGCTAACATTTTTTGCCTACATTTTTGTATTTCATGACAGAGCACAGTCACTTATTGATCATACTCTGTTGAATAGGGCCTATATTTAAAGTTTAGTAGTTCTTATGACTAGTTGTGATGATTGAATTGAAGGAGAACTAACAAGAATCTTTTAAAACTTAACAAAAGGATTCCGAAGGTGACACTCCTCTTCATGATGCCATCAGCAAGAAACGCGATGACATCCTGGCTGTCCTCCTGGAAGCAGGAGCGGACGTCACCATCACAAACAACAATGGTTTCAATGCTCTGCACCATGCAGCGCTACGGGGAAATCCCAGGTAAGATGCAACAGTCACTTGCCCAAGGGTCTGGGAGAAATGCTGCCTCCTGCTGCTCCTTTTCCAGCTACTGAGAAGGAAATAATATCTACTGATTTTAGTGTCCTAAGTAACTTTAAAAGTCTGACATTATTCAGTAGATTTATAAGCATTATGAAGTGATTGTTTATATATTAAATGTTAGGACTGTACTGGCTGTTTCTAAAAGATTTAAACTGCGCTCCCTTTTGAGATTTTTGTTTCTTCAAAATCAGTCTCAGGTTATATTCTAACTCATGTTATCCATTTGCATAATAATTAAATAATCCCTTGGCTAAATAAACAAAAGTTCCCTCATCCCCTTATTAATAATATAATTAATTATGTAAACTTCAGTTTGTGGTGTGCCCAGTTGCTATCACAGTACAGGTGTTGCGCTGGGAAAGGGCTTGCTGGTTGGTGTTTCAGAAAGTGCCATGGAGAGTCCCAGTGCTCAGAGAGCGCCTCGAGGCGTCAGGGGAGGAAGCGCTGATGTTCCTGTAGGTTCCGGAGTTTCATGAACTCAGTTTTTGGAACAGCATGTTTTAAGGTGCACTCAGGGAATTCTGCTTTAGTTGTCTGGTGTCTAGTTGAATCAAGTACATTTGTCTTTTTAAAAAAAATCAATTTTGTTGATATACTTTTGATACACATAATGATCACATTCATTATGGGAGTTTGTACTTGGATGTAGCATATCTCTTTTTTTTTTCTAGTCTTTTTTTTCTCTCTTAAGTTCTCTCAAGTTCAGACTGGCCTTGACATCACTTTGTAACTCAAGCTGGTTTCAAACTTACAAAAGTCCCTCTGCCTCAGCCTCCTGAGTGCTGGAATTACAGGCTTGTGTCACCATGCCTGGGGACAGAATATGTCTTAGTCTCTCCCCCCACATTCTCCTCCCCTTCCCTTTTAATAACCACTCTTCCTCTCCACATTTACAAAAGCTTTGTATCCATTTTTTCCCTCTTATTCCCCCCACCCCCATTCTCCTTCCATTTGAATATTTTCTTCCTAATTTCCAATGTCTGTCTCTGTGTTGGTCCTTATTTAAGCTTTTGGTTTTTCACTCAGGAGAAACAATGGGATATTTAAATGTGTCTAATTAAATGTCTATATCTTGACTGAGGAAAATGTTCACGCTGATGTTCAGTTTGAATTTTATGTATCCTGAATATTTAATCTTTGCTTCGTTTTTGTTTGTGTAAGTATGTATTTATAGGTGCTTAGGACCACCACTAGAGGGTGATCACAGAAAATAAAAGAAAGTGCTCTTGCGTGTTGGTACCTGTGACAGTGGCTATACAGTATGTGTGATGTGATGAATGACTGTTTCATGCCTTATATCTTTTAAAATTATGAATATTTGAACAGTTCATACATTAGTACTGTGAAGGACACAACAGTATTATGTATCCTGAACCTTATCAACACCTTATTTCAGTGTACTTGGTGAATGCCAGGCCTCTGCTGAGTGCTTTTCCCACATTATGTCACTTAGTCCTTTGAATGCTATTCCCTTCCCCTGTCCCTGCTGGAGATCCATGGGGGCCTAAGTGGGGGCTCTGCTGCTCCTGAGCTTCACCAGCAGCCCTTCCAGCAGCTTTGGGGCAGGGGTTAATATACTTGTCTTACAGATGAAGAGGATGAGGCTTATCAAGATGGATTTACTTAGTCCCATTGTGTAGCTGATAAGAGAAGCAGCTGAAACTTGAGCAAGTTCTTTGTGCCTTGGGAATCAGAACTCTTACACCCTTCATGGTTCTGCTTGTGCTTTGTGGTCTGTAAGTGAGGTGAGACACCCGAACAGTGAGCAGTTAACTTAGAGCAGTGAAGTGCTGCATCTTTCCTCTTGGTGTGTCACTGCCTGTGGTTGTCTTTGCTCTTTAATTTCAACTGCAATTCCTTTTAAAATTCAGTGTATTCTGCTGGTCTTTCCAGTCTGTCCATTCTTTGTATTCCTATTATTGCTAACATAGTTAAGTTCTCACTATCTTTACCTTAACTATTACAGTATCTTTTTTTATTATTCTTCCTGATTTAACCATTGTGTAATTATCGTTGTATAATTTCCCTCTATTCCCAAGTTTTCAGTTGTTTATGTCTGTAGTAAAATGTACACATCTTGTCATTTGAATCTTTTTTTTTTTTTTTTTGGTACTGGGAATTGAACTCAGGTCCTTGCACTTGCCAGGCAGGTGCTGTGCTACTGAGCTACTTCCCAGCACTTGAACCAACTTTTAATATATCCTGGGCCTGTTAACTTCATCTCCCATTAATTATACTTCCCCTGCCCACCTCACCCTTCAGTGACTTTATTACATTACTGTCCTTTCCTAAAATACGATGCCTGCTTTCTTCTCCCTTTTTCCAGACTCTGGCTTACTATGTGCATTCTTTCTTTCCATTAAGATTGTGGGTGTTCATATTTATCTGTGTATCCCCCTTAGTGAGTGCTCTGAATATAGGAAACAATTTGACAGTAAGAACAATGAAACTTCACATATGTTACATAACTAATTATGGAATTAATTCTTTTGGGAAACTTAGGCATTCAAATAAGCAGTTTTATACTGTAGTTATACGTAGTATACGTGGCTACCTATTGGACTTCATTATAGTCCATTGTAATTGCCATTGATTGTGTTAGTAATTTTACCAGTTTTTGAGTTTTTTCAGAATGTATATTCTACAGTAAATTACTTGTAACATTGCAAATATAATCTGTTTATAATTTTACCCATTTATTATAGTTAAGAATGTGAGAAAAATTTCTAAAATCTGTGTGAGCACATGTGAGATTTAAGTACTATTCCCTGGCTTAGATTCTAGTTAACAATAACAGTTTTTCAGCAGTGGGTCAGTTAAACAGTAGTTAATAATGATTGATTTGCTTTCCTAAAAGAAAAAACTATATCTTGGTCTTTATAGTATGTCCAAACTGTCCTGTGTTTTTGAACAGCATACTTTGAAATCTAGATGTCAGAGGTTTGGATCGGTATAAATCCTAGATTACAAAGCTAATTTTAGTCTTTCTTCATCATTTGACAGTAACTGAGATGAAGACATTGAGAGAAAATGTAATAAAGCTATTTTCTTTTAGAATGTGAGCAATGTTATGAAACACTGTTCTTGGGTAAGAAAGTTTGTAGTAGTTTACAATAGGTACATATTTTAAGGTAGTGGCTTGTTTTTTAAAAATTTTAAACTAAGAATGTAGTTTATATATTCTGATACTTGATGTTTACTTTTACAGTTTTGGCAGTGCTGGGGATGGAACCCCGGGCCTAGGCAAACTCTGTATTGATAAACTACATGCCCAGCCTGGTGTTTGATATTTATGGAGATGTTGTATTCTAGTGTTTAGCCCTATTATCTTCTCTTATTCTATACTGGTAAAAATTGGGTTTAAATCAAGAGCAGAAATGATTTCTACTATTAAAGTGAGAAGTGAATGTCTAGGTTCCTGAGTCACAGCTGCTTGGGCACTGTGGGGAGCCAGCAGGCTGCCCTTGGAGCTGTCCTTGGGTTTGCAGTGCTCCCTGCAGGCTGGCTGCCCATTGTCAGTAGGGTTCTCAGCAGAGCTGGTCCTGATAAATATGATAGGGCTTTTGGCGATAAGGATAATAAAGTTACATTATATTTTATTATTTATAATTTTTCTTCACTATAAATTGAACGTTAAAAGGAACAGCAGGGCTGGGGATTCAGCTCAGTGGCATAAGTGCCTGCCTTGCAAGTATATGGTTGTGAGTTCGATCCCTGGTACCCCCTCCCCCCTTAAAAAAAGGAATAGCAAAATACGAGTTTCATTGTGTGCTGTGATGCTGTTTTCAAGTTAGTACTAAGATGACTTCTTGTTCACTCATTTATTTATTCCCATAAAGAAACATAATAAATCTTACAAAATCTGTGAGTAGCTCATTTTTTTCTGTAGAAACATTATGGCATCTTGATGTAATTCTCTTAGTTCTGGAATGTGATTTGCTTAAGTTATGTTGAATGTAGGACATTTGGTAATCTGGAGCCTGTCTTGGTATTCATTTTTTCCCTTTTATAATTTTGAAATGCTGGGTACTGAACAAAAATTAGCTGAATTTCTGCTCATGTATCTACTTTCAAACACCACTTGTGTGTGTGCATGTATGTGTACGTGTGTGCGGTTTTTTGTAAAGGAAAAAGAAGGCAAACATTAATGGATTCTTTCTACTTTACAACTGAGGAAATAAAAGAAAGTATTAAAATGTCCTTAGGCGTGAAAAGTCGAGACACTTAACATTTTCTGTAAGCATTAAAGACCTTTGGTTCAGAGTTGGTAGAACTTAGAACAAGCTGCTTATTGCTTAATTCTCTTAAGGTATTCTGTAGTATTACCTCCTTTTTTCAGCTTTGCTGCTAACATTCGGGGATATAGTGGTATAATTAAAGGCTTTCGATGGGAGAGAGTGACTTGATATTTGTAGAGTATCATTTTGTGTAATGGTGTACTTTACAGCAATATAAAGGTATATAAAATACATGTGTGTCCAGGTGGTCTGTGTTGAGACATTTCCCTTGTTTCACGTGCATTTTAGGTGGACTTCCCAGGCAGTTCCTTCCTCTGAAGGAAATATGTTTTTATTATGAAGCATAGTCTACTTTTCATTAATATTTTCTGAAGAACAAGAAATTTAATATCAAGAGGCCATAAATGAGTAGATTATTTTATTTGAAATTTGTAAGTTATCCATACATTTTTTCAAAAAGCTTTTTATAAATGTCTTTAACCACTTTAGTTCTTTGAAGTAGAATAGTAACAGTTTTAGCCACAGTCCGAATAACTTAAGTAAGTTAAAATTAGTTGACATATAATTGATAATAATAACTGAAAGTGCTGGCTCTCCTGCAGAAATCAATGCATAGCTACAGCTGGTTGAAGGGGACCAAATCCATTGAAGAGGCGATTTGGTTCCATTTTACCAGCTTTAGCAAAGCATTGTAGTGCTGCTGGTTTGGGACCCAGGACAAATCAGTGATTTCGTTTGTAAAAATACAGTTACAGATCATCCACAAGTTTAGAAATTCTCATTTCAGTGCTTCCGTTACTGAATATAAAATTCTGTCTTGCCGGCACTTTTCCTGCTCTTCACAGTTGCAAAGGCTTTTCCTTTTCACACATTGTCAGTACATATCTTCATTTTAACATTTTTGATTAATTCTTAAATGTAAACAATAACTTACTTCAAACCCAACAGCATTTATAAGAAAAAGTAGACTTTAACACATTTCAGAGTAATGTCTTCTATTTACTTCTAGGTACTAAACTGTTCAGCTAGTAGTTGGGAAGAGTGATATTAGCTACACATTTCTATTATCACTGCTTTCTTTTAGTGTTATAGTCGAGGGCTCATAGCAAGTTGCTGACAGTGGGAGGAGAAATATGAATGACTTTAAGAAACTCTTCTGCCCTTTGGGTTATAAATAGACTTGTGTTGGGAGGAGCTACCATTCATGCCACCTTATTTTTCTTTTGTTGTTGCTCATGTAGAGTTACTAATCATTGGTCAGTAACTTAACCCTTTTAAAAGTCTGTTTCCCTGACTAAATTCACTATCATTTTGGGTACAGATTGTCTGGTTACTTCTCATTATTAGCTTAACTGTGCATTGACTTGTGGTTAGCTGTAATTCGTGAATTTTTAGTATTAAAATTTACCATATAATAATTGGTAGTGTAAGTTTTTAGTACAGTGTGGTTTTGCTGTTGTTTTCAATATGAGGAGAAGAATGTCTTCTGAAAAATACTTGCAGAAAATACAAGTTAGATAAATTGTGATTTGTTTACAAAGTAAAATGAAGTGAAATAGAGTGAACTATTCTGAACTGAACTGGGAGAGAGTCAACAGTAATTTGGGCAGTGTGCAAACAATTGTTACGTTAAGTGTATTTCTGTGTCGGTTGTTAAGTGTCCGGCTGCTGGTAAAATTAATGTATCTGTAGTTCTTTCCATCATTTATTCTAGTAGAAATGAAACAGGTGTTACATTGCATGAACTTAAGTGCTGAAGATAGCAATAACACCGGCTTCTATTTTTACTAGTTATATGGGAGCCATTTAGCAGATCCAGTTGCTCAAGTGTGCTTTTGGACGGCAGTTCAGTTTCATATACTGGCCATATCGGGGCAAGGAGAGGCCATGGGAAAAAAATAGTACAGCATTTGATAATGTCAGCATCTGTTATCCCTGTCAGGGAGACAGTTGAAATGTTTGAGTTATACCAGTGTCAGCAGATGTCCAGAGTTTAACATGTACTCAGTTAAAAGTGAACAGCTGATCTAAGTGATAGAGGTGACATTTTAGAATGATTGAAAATACTCCTAGATATGTTAAGTTAAAGTAGTAACTACGATTTATAATTTGACTTTATAAATGCATAACATCAGTTTTTAAGGATTAAATTCTTAGTTGCTGGAATGTTTAAAAAGAATTATTAAAACTTATACTTACCAGTAAAATAACAAATGTAATTGCTTATTACAAAGTATAAGGAAAGTAATACCCTTTGAGTAGTTTTATAGAACAACTTCTGCTTTGGAATCATATATTTTTAGTTTTTGGCATTTAGGACATGTACAGGTAAAGGTAAAAAGTGGAACCTGAAGTATTGTCATTCTTTTTGGTAGGTGATCAGAGGGCTATGCTTAAGTGAGTTAAGATTTGCACTAATTTCTTTGAAACATAGAATTTAAAAATCATACTTTCTATAATTTCCAGTAAATGTGCAGTAATGTACTACTTCATATAATTTTCTCATTCAGTATAATCTGGTAAAATGAAAATCATTTACTAATGAATTGTCTTACTAAACAGAAAATTGATGGTAGTTAAACTTATTTCCATTCAGCTTTTTAATACCAAAGATTAACATATTACTGTTTTTGGTAAAATATTACTGAAACAACTTTTAGTAAAAAATAAAATATACAAATACTAGTATTTTCTTTTTTCTTTGTAATATTATAGCTACTTAAAACAGGTATTGCTTAATGATTATTGCTAAAATCCTTCTTTCTTTCCATTCTTTCTTCCTTCCTTCCGAGTACTGGGAATTGAACCCAGGATCTTGGTGCTGAACTCTTTCTTTAGCCAGATTTTTATTTTTTGACATAGGGTCTCACTAAGTCTAGGCTTGGGTTTGCAGTCCTCCGCCTCTGTGTCCCAAAGTGCTAAGAATTAGAGGCACACACCACCTGGCCTGGCTTGTGTTTTTATACATGTATATAACAGATTATATAAAATTGACATTTTTTATATAGTCCAGTGGATCTGTTATATCTGTAAAACTGTGTTATAATTGCATAGTACAATACCAATAAAAATGGCACTATGTGTATTCTATGTGTATAAGTTGATTCTTGACTGTAATGTTTTCATTTTATGTATTCTCCCTAGAGGAAGCAGATTCAAAGATAATACAATCAGAAATTCTTCTTATATTGATAGATTATAAACTTACTAGATGTGAAGAATAGCTATTAAAGATGAGTGGTTAGCCTTTTTTTTTTTTTTTTTTTTTTTTTTTTTGGGCAGTATTGCAGTTCGAACTGAAGCCCTTTGCACTCAGATGCATCTCCAGCTCTTTTAAATCCTTTTAAATTTTAAAAGAGGGTGTCTTAAGTTCCTGAGTTGCCCAGGCTAGTTCCAACTTGAAAGCTTCTTGCCTCAGCCTCCCAGAGTGCTGGCATTATAGGTATGTGCCACCATGCCTGGCATGGAGCCAGCTTTTCTTGTATCTTATTTTTCTTCCCCAGTGAGTTGATAGATACTTGAGCTATGATCATATTGTGAAGAAAATATATGTATCTTTTACTCTTTTATGCTAGTACTATTTTTCCTCTTATTATCAAATTTTAATCATGTAAATACTCAAAAAAGGTAGAAGGTATTTAAATACGTTAAAAGGACTTTCATGTAATTTGAAATCTACTTCAGTAGGACTTTTCTTTCACTAAGTATAAGTCCTAAGGATACCGAGTTTCCATCTGTAAGCACTCAGTAAGGATTTCTGTGTGTGTGTGTGTGAGTGTTGCCAGAGATCATCCTGGGGATATGAGCTTATTACCACACGAAGGTCATTTGCACAGAAGAGAAGCAAGGGTTGCTTTTAGCTGCAGTTTAGTTGCTCTAGGTAGCTTGTTACCTACCAAAAATACATACTTCTTTACATTCCATAGCATTGTATGTTCATATGGGTACATAAAGAAGTATGTGCTCTGAGTAGGTATTAGGAAGTAGCTAGCTGTAAACACTTATAATATAAATAATATATTTGTTACTAGTTAGCTCACTGCTGCAGAGTACTGGTGGATGATTTGCAGAGACTAAATTATCAAAGACTGCACTTCATAGCCAGTTTACCTGATCAGGCAGTAACGCCGCTTAGGGTTCCTTGTTCTCGATGGACATGGACATTTGTAAATGTCCAGTTTTCCGTTGAACTTTGTCCTAGTTTGGTTCTTTTTTGCAGGAGATTCATAGAATCAGTGGAGCTTTGCAGTGTTTCAGAAATTGGTAACAGCAGCTCGGTCATAGTCTTCAGAGAAAGAAGCTTCTTTCTCTTCTTTTATTGTCATTAGATCCTACAAGTAGATAGTAATTCAAAAAAAATTTTTTGCAAACCTGATACTTCATTTAAAACTTAAATCAATTAGTACTCCTAGAATTGACTACAGTTGAAACAATAAGAAGAAAACCCAGGCGATACGAGCATGTGAGTGAAAGGAATCTTTTAAAAATACTGAAATTTTCTTTTTTTTTAGGTCACAGATAAAAACTCATGATCATCTGAAAACTTTGTTGTGTCTTTGTCTTTATTAGTTTCTTACTTAAATTTTGTATTTCTGTGCTTCTGTTTGAATACAAATTTCAATGTGTTTCCACATATTGTATGTTAGTGAACTTTGTTCTTTTGATTTTTAAAATCTTTCAATATAAAGTAAAACTACCAAGTCTACTTTTCCATTCTTACCTAAAAGGACTAAAAGAGTGTCCCCTATGAGCACCCGCACCCAGGTTTTAGCACAGCCATTCAGCATGAGAAAAACTAGCTGGTGAGTAGCTTTTTAATTATCATGATAGTAAAGGGTTAATTAAAAAGAAAACCTTGAGTTCAGAGTTGGCAAAAGGGGCAAGGAAGGCACAGAGAAAGCCGGGGAGGTGGGGAGTGGGCTCCCAGTGAGAAAGCGCAGCTCATTGGAGCAAACCAACGTGGCGGGGGCCACACGCAGCAGTCAGCAGCATGGCAGGGGTCACACGGTGCATCTCCCAGTTGATTAACAGTGAGCACTAAAAAGTGTTGTATAATCTGCCAAGTTGCTTAGTTGACTAAATGTTGAAAAAAATTTTTAGAAGATAGCATACTTGGTGGGAGTGAAGGATACAGAATTCCTGGTGATACAAAACCATTTCATCTGAAACAATAAAGGCTAAACTTTAATAATATAATTGACAGAGATTTATACGTCTTTGAGATTGAGTTACCTGTTATGAAAATATTTGAACAACATTCCTTTTTTACATTACCCAAGCTGTCAGTTCGTACTGTGAAATTAGGCTCTGCTCGGAACACATAGGGAGTCGAGTGACATTAGCTAAGCATGCAGAAAGTCTTCAGTACTCTTAAAAGCGCAGGCCATGAGGTGTGGTACCTGTCAGCCTAGTATTGCCCAGTGCCAGCAGCAGGACAGGTAGTGACCTACAGAGTCACATGCAGCAGCCATCGCCTCGCGGCCCTGCGCACACGCTCCTCGCTGATTCAGCACTTCTTTCCTGAGCCCGTGTGGAGAGGGAGGGCTGTCAGTGAACACAGAACCCCACATTTGAAGATACATTTGAAAGACAAACAAACAAATAACCAGCTTTTCTCCCCCCTCTCCTAAAGGAAAAAAAAACCCTACAATAAATTTGAATCAACATTGGCCATTTGATTTGGAATGTCATATACCAGTTATTACAGTTATGTAGAGAAAAGTCACTAAGGAAGATTGCTGCAAAGGCCACGAAAATGTATCTAGCTTATTTGTTAGATGAAGTGTGGCAGAAGAGGGGAAAAGTTGCAGAGAGAGTTAATTTTATAATCCAAAAAGAGACCAAAACAAACCCAGAAATAAACCAACCCAAAGCACACCTTACCCCAACCAAGTAAATAAACATTCACCCTGTTTTCCTTTGCCCACCAGAATACATTGAATTCTTCTGACTCCTCGGGAAGTATTCTGCATCTTTCTTGCTTTGCGTTTTTGGTTTTTGAGTTTCCAGGATTAAATGGTAGATCTGTAATAAAGCTACCTTGTCACATCCCAAGGTCAGGTCTGCAAGCGAGGATGGGACTTCCACATGGTCACTACAGAGGCCAACTTATATTCTTCCCTCAGTGACCACAGGCCACACTGTTACAGCTTTATAGGCAGCTAAGCATTTGAAACATGCACTCCCAGGCAAACAGGCTCTCTTGTGCCTCTCTCTTCCCTGACCATATTTAGTCAACCATAGCAAAAAATAGTCTCTCAGCTGTCGATTGTCGATCCAAAAGCAGAGGAAGCCTCTATCTTGCTTTCTGCCTATTGATTGTTCATCCTGTGGTCCAAACACTGCTTTGCCATTTGTCCTGCCCGCCCCCCCCTTTAAAGTACTGCCAAATAAAGCGGTCTCTCATATTTCCACTTACATTTCCCGAATTTTCACTGAGCTGTTGCTGAGACTAGGAAAGCCTCATACGGCTGTCACTATACTTAGAAGCACTGCAGAAAAAAAAGGAAAGAGGAAAGAAATTATCCCAGCTAGTAGCAAGGCAGACTTTAGACAGATATGGAACAGTAAAATTTCTCTGCTGCCAAAACGTATTTCATAAGCTGATTTTTTTTTGTTGTTGGCAGAGATATTTGGATGGCCATGTGTTTCATGGCTGAAGGCCTAAAAGGATTTCATAGGGTTATATTTAGGGCTGGTTATTGCTATCCACGCATTTAAAATTTACTAAATATTATTTGAATGGGAAATTTATAGAAAAGGTGAGTAGAACTTGTATGTTGGTAGTAGAGAAAAGCCGTTGACTAAGAAGGGTGTTATATAAATGAAATGTTGGAAATGCTTCTTAAAACTTTAAATTCAGTGGCAATTAATTGTTTTAATATTGCTTAGTGGGAAACATGATACAGAGTACATTTGAGTAATCACGTTTTTTGTATTGCAACTAGCATGTAGGAGTACTAAAGTTCATTTTATTATGAACTTAGTTTTGATACAAATTAAATTCTTCATTTTAAGTGTGATGTTTCTTTTTCCTTGTTTCTACATTGCTGGTGGCTTCCTAATTTTCTGAAATAGCTTTTAGATATGGTCATTGCACATTTTGTCTCAGATTAAAATAGTTACTAGCCTGTCTGTAACTGTGCTACGTAGTATACAGTGTGTCTCAAAACACTTCTAAATTTTAATTGCATACTCACAATAAATTTTAATGTAGAAATTTATTTTTAACTGAGAAAAAACCAGTATTAAAACAAAATTCAGGGGCTGGGGATTTAGCTCAGCGGCATAAGCGCCTGCCTTGCAAGCAGGCAGTCGTGAGTTCGATCCCTGGTACTGGTAAAAACGAAAAAGACAAAAAAAAAAAAAATCCTTTAAACATTCAACAAATCTATGTAAATATAATTTAAAATTTCATAAACCTAAAAAATGTCCAAAAGAAATTAACCATTCTGTTATTTATTCCAATATATTCTCTTAAGTATCGATTAAGAATCGAGAAAACCATTACCAGTTTCCAGAGCTCATTCTCCTATAGCAGTAGTTTGTCCTTAACATTCTTTTGTCTTCAGCACTTAATATCCTAGTGGTTTAATTATTTTGTAGGGCTACTTTAAAATAGTGACAAAAGGAGGGCTTCTGTAGATATTTTGCAATTTTAAAGAACCAGCTTTCCTAGGTACTGAAATAATTTTACGCATGAGATGACAAATCTCAGAATGTAAAACAGGTTAGTTTTCTGGGTTTGGTTTTTTTTTTGGTACCAGAGATCGAACTCACAACCATGTGCTTGCCAGACAGGTGCTTATGCCACTGAGCTAAATCCCCAACTCCAATTTTCTGGTTTTTAAATTACCCTACTTTTCCTGTTTTGCAGCAATGAAAATTTTTTTTAAGTAGACAGCTATATAATGTATTATATGCTGGGCACTCGTCTAAACCCTTTTTACAAATATTAACTCGTAATTTTCATTAAAACTCAGATACTATTTTTGATTCTTTACTTGTTTTATGAATGAGGAAACTGAAGCATAGCAGTTAATAATCTGCTTAAATCGCAAACCACTCTTTCGGGCTGGAGCTAGAACCTCAGAGCTTGAGTCCAGGTTGGGAGCTCTGTACGTCTGTTCCTTGCTGCGACTCTGGTGTGTAACAGTGAGATGAGTTAGAGAGTTACTGCTCTCAAGCATTCAGTGGTGCAGCACAAATACACAGCATGTCACTGTGTCCTGGCCTCAGCATGTTCAGGAAGATGACCATTCCTTTGCTTGTGTTTGTATTCTTTCCATTCAATAAAACCCTGACCTCCATATGCAAGTGTATCTTTCTGAACAAGAAACATTTTAATTGTGCAGATACCTGTTTTTGGCATGTCCAAAAGATCTACTTGGAATTGATTAACTTTCTCAATAAGTTCCTTTCTGAATTTTGCATTACTTGCTTTACCTGTTGAGAGAGTGCTGGTTAACTGAGCAAGCATTTATTGAATATACATGTGCCACAATGTTATCCCATTGTCTTTTTTTACATTAATTTTAATATGTGAGGCTACCACAGATAATTGCTATGGTGTGTTGGGAAAAAATGTTGCCTCTCTCTGAAGAAAGAGACATTAGACACAGCCTGGCAACCCCTAAAACTGATCCAGTGCCATTTGTATACTGCATACCAGTGTAGACAGCTGCTTGTCCCCTGTACTTCTTAGAATTCAGTTGTTCATCGTTCAGCAAGCATTTGAAAACTACCATGTGCCAAGGATTATACTAGGCACTGCTCTTAGTTGTTCCGGAACTTAATACTTCTCTGGCACGATTCACAAATGCCTGCTTAACTGGTAGTAAGATCTTATCTTTAAAACATCCATGCCCTTACCCTGTTAGAAAACAATCAGTTGAAAAATTAAGAACCATGTTTTGTGCATTAAGGAAAATCACCAAATCTCATAACCTTCCACAGGTGAGAGAGTCTGGCATAGTAAGATGGGTGACTTACTGAGAGCTTGTCACACCTGTGTCCCGGGCACACTGTGGACCTCACTGTACACAGCGTAAAGCAGTCTCTTCTCTTAATCTGCAGCCTGGAGCTGCCCTGTGCAGTTTGCTGTGCATTCCTGAGATCACCTGTACTGCACAGAAAGCAGGTAGCATTCTGAGCTGCTGTCGTGGCCAGGGCGACTTATGCTTCACGTTCCCTTGACTCATTTGGCAGCCTGGGCCCAAAGTCAGGCTCTTTCCTTGAGCTTGTATAATTTGTGTGTGGGTTTTTTTCTGGGAAAAGGCCAGCAATTTCTAATTAAGATGAAAAGATGATGATGTGTAAGCAGAGACCCAAGTAAATGATCCATCCTCCCCAAATCTCCACTGTAGAGTTTGGAATACTTCACGGTAGTGCTTCACTTTCAGGAACTGCCCACTTCGGAAGTGTAGGCTGAGCAAAGTGGCTTCCTTGCTAAGACCATGGTAGAGAAATGGGGAAAAAAGGGAAACTGCAGGGGAGACACCTGGCAGACCCGTTCAGCCAGGTGAACAAGGCAACCTGAGTGCCAGTACTGTGTTTTCAGCAAATAAGACCCAGTCTTACATTAATTTTCTTCTAAAACACACTGTGGGGCATATTTTAGGGGATGTCTTTATTTTTTCATGTACAAAATGTATTCAAATACAGTCATGTCAGCATCTTCTGGGACATCGTCGTAACTCTCCAAACCCCAAATTTCAGCCTGAATTTCTTTCCTTTCCTTTTCTTTCTTTCTTTCTTTCTTTCTTTCTTTCTTTCTTTCTTTCTTTCTTTCTTTCTTTCTTTCTTTCTTTCTTTCTTCCTTCCTTCCTTCCTTCCTTCCTTCCTTCCTTCCTTCCTTCCTTCCTTTCTTCTTTCCTTCCTTCCTTCCTTTCTTTCTTTCTTATCAGGAATCAAACTCAAGCCTTGCATTTTCTAGGCAGGCACTGTGGCACTGAGCTATTTTCCTGGTTTAGCGTGACATTCTTGTGACTCCATTTCCTGTAGAATTGTTGGTCCCAATCTCTGATGCCCTGCAAGAGAGCCCTCTGTAAATGAACACTTTGTCAGTGGAGCCTGCTTGTAGCACATTGGCAACACAGCTGTCAGTGATTTTACACCATGAATTCTTCAGCCAAGGCGCGGCCTCTTGCAACTCCATTACATCAGGAGCTCATAGAAACTTGTGAGACAGGAGTGGCAATAAAAATGATGACAGTGGGCTGGGGATTTAGCTCATTGGCACAAGCGCCTACCTGGTAAGCTCAAGGTCGTGAATTCCATCCCTGGTACCAAAAAAACCCCCCAAAACAGCGATGATAGTGAAGGATGATGGTCTACACAGAAGCTGTGAAACGTTATAGGCACCAAAATTCTGAAAACCTTTATTTCACCTGACTGTGTTTATTGTGCCCATGACAACACACAGTATACTGAGTTATGAACTTTCATGTTTGACACAACCACATCTGTTTGCTTTCAAGTGTGCACGTTATTTGTGTTTGTGTCTGCACCCTGATTGGTCATTCAGCAGAAAGACTCCAGTTCATCTACTTGTGTAGGCGTTTACCTCTCGTTCAAAGGTGCCTGCTTGGGCATTTACAATATTGAGTTATAATTTATATTTATTTTAAATATTAAAGTCAGTGTTTACATTTAATTGTATATCAATATTTTTATAATTAAATACATCATATGTTTCAGGAGACATACTACATGTGTCATCTGACTGGTGATCTTAACGGGTTTATTTTGGGGCTAAACCAAGAGTTTTATTATGAGTATTGTGAAAAATCATGCTAGAGCTTATTTCTGGTTAGGTCTTAAGACCACTCCATGGAATGATGCAATAAAGGGCACTTTACTTCTGTGGTAGTCCAGGAGCCCATAAACCTGATAGAACCCTCAAAAACCAGGTGAATCCCGCCTGAGGAACATGCTGCATGCCCATATCTCTCAGTCATTACAGACTTGGAAAATGGAGAAGCTGTCATAGCCAGAGGGAGTCTAGGGTGTCATTAATATATTTTGTTAGTCTACAGCAGAGGAAAACCAATTTTCTGTAAATTTAAAATTGAAATTTTATTTAAAAAATAAATGGGCTAGGAGTGGTGACCCACGCCTGTAATCCTAGCACTCTGGAGGCTGAGGCAGAAAGATCATTGTGAGTTTGAGGTCAGCCTAGGCTACAAAGTGAGTTCAAGGTCAACCTGAATTGTATAATGAGACCCTGTCTCAAAAAGACCAAAAAGAAGGGGGGCGGCCAGGTATAGTGGCATATGCCCATAATTCTAATACTTAGGAGGCTAAAGCAGGAGGATCGCTCTGAGTTTGAGGCCAGCCTGAACTGTATAGTGAAACCCTGTCTCAAAAACAAAACAAACCATGTGGAGTATGGGGTATATTTCAGTGGTCAAGCTTTTGCCTAGTGTGTGCAAAGCCTGGGTTTGATCCTCAGCACTGCTTAAATGTGAACGAATGAATGAATGACCATAATGATGCCAATAAAAACTAACCCATTTACTTTTGGCTACTTATAACTGACTTTGCATTGTAGCCCTCCCTTGTTACTGGGGATTGAACCCAGGCTTTCATACAAAGCTACCAGGCTGGGCTCAAACTTGGGATGCTTCCAGTTTAGCCTCCCAGAATGCTGGGATTATAAGCATGTGCCACCATGCCCAGTTCTTTGCATTAGTTCTGATTGGAGCTGTTCACAGCATTTTTTCACAGTTTGTACCAATAAACCAAGAGTTGATTTGCCAAAACAGATTTCAAAACAATATTAAGTATAGACTTGTGTTTAAAAAGTACATGATGTTGAACTGAAGAAACCTGTCCAATGTCATTCTAATCAGCAAACAATAGATTGCTAGAATTTATATTATAATGCTACAAAATAAGCCTCGGGTTTCTTCAGTTCAACTTCAGCATATGCAGAGATGGGGACGGCTATCACAAAGAGAATGAGAGATGCGATGGTAGTTGCTATTGTCTTCCCTAATTTGGAACTTGAGGACCTAAAAAGACTTCATCATCCTGTAATGATTTGATTAGTTCTATAATATGCAATAAGTATATAAAGTGGGTGAAGATAGGGACAACTATTTGTAAGAAGCTAGAGACAGTTAGATAATGAAGATCTCCAGTGGACTTGCTTTGAAATCTGTATTTCTTTAAATTGTTTTTTATTTTTTTTTAAATGTTCTGTTCTGTTTTGATGTGGTTAATCTTACCCTCTTTCCGATGTAAAACAAATGTGTAGGACTGATAATCATATTACTGAGCTTTTGTTCGATCATAGAGCAGAATGGTTTGTAGGGTCACTTTTTTGAATGTCATTCTAAATACTTTAATTCTATAACCTGAACAGCTATTTCGAAGATGACAATGTGTAACTTATCAACCGGCAATTTCTTACCTTTTGTTTGTCTGCAATTTTGTATTATTTCTACCCTTTTTTTTATCTCCATGTATTTTTTTTCGTTTCCTTTTCTTTAAATAAAAAAAAAATTTGATCTAAAAAAAAAAGTACATGATGATGGAAAGGTATATTTTAGAATATTTTCCTCGATATATGTCTTATTAGAAAGGTTTACTTTTTAGGATTTTTTTTGCTAGATGAATATTGACAATTTTGAATCAGAGAAAATCATGAGATGGCATATTTGTGAGTGATGGGATAGGTTAGGAAGGGCGTGGCCTAGCTAGAGGATGTTCCCAGGGGAAAGGTAATGATAGAAGGGAAAATCAGCAGGATACATTACATATGGAGGCAGGAAGGGACGGAAGTACCTGGGATGGTTCCAGGTTCTGCCTAGCATGGCTGATCCATAGTGCAAGTGTAAACGGCTCAGAGCAGAGGAGGAGTGGATAGGAGAACTTGTGTTACACAGGCCCCACATCTGCAATCTGAGAGTTGCTGTGATATGTTGAGGGATTTCAAGCCCTATAACAAAAACATTACTACCTGCATACTTCATTTAATTCCTATAGCAACCTTACGGTACTTCATACAGAGCTTCCTATAGAGTTTTGGTGTTAAGATGTGAGTGAGCATACTTGTTGCAATTAGAAGAGCTAGGATGTTTGGGATGATAATACATAGTTAGAGCTTCTCAGGGCCAAGATTCAGGCGTCAGGAATGCAACTTGGAATGGCATCATTACTTAAAAAGACGTTGATGTGTAAGTCACAAAAGACTTGTCACGTGGATTGCAGGACTCACGACATCTGATTAATAGATGATTTTTTTTCTTTTCTGTGCTGGGGGAACAAACATGAGAAGCTAAATTAAAACCAGAGACTGACAGTTGAGCAACACGGTTGGATGATTTAAATGATCAGTAGCTTTCTCCTGTGATAGTTTTCCTGGGGCTGTGTACAGGTGATAGAGGTGGCAGCTATGGAGTGCAAGGCAGGCGCGCTGGGGTGGTGTGGGAAACCTGATATGGGTTTCTCGACACAGCCTTGTCTTTCTCCAGGCTTCACGGGAACTGTTTCTGTTTCTGTTTTCTTTTTTTAATCAGTTGTTGTTGAGACAAAGACACATAATTTTCATTTTTTTTTTTGTAATTCCATGCTGAATCTCTTTCACAGAGCTTTTTTTCTAGTGGTTATCTGCATATTTTATGTATTAAATAGTTGAGTAATTTATTAATCTGTTCTTTGAACAGAACACTTTTTTTCTATAGAAAACTAGAAATCATTTCTGTTTAAAATGTACTATTAGTAGTATAATTAACTAGTTTAAAATGAGGCTTTTGTTCTAGGTAATCCCACATTTCCTTTGGTGTTTCTTATTCTCTCAGAAATGCAAGAGGGATGGCAGCGCAGCCATCACTCCCGTATCTGTGAGGGCATGGCTCAGGTGCCGTGCCCCGCCCCCATGACCAAGTCTGCAGCTGCCCTCTCTGAAGTGGTGCAGTATTTGCTGACAGGCTGTGCACATCCCTGTGTACTTTAAGCCATCTCTGGAGCTGAGTGTGATGGTACATGCTTGTAATCCAGCACTTGGGAGGCTGAGACAAAAGATCTATGAGTTCAAGGCCAGCCTGGGCTGTATTAGTGAGACTCTGTCTCAAAAAACAAATGAAAAAATCATCTCGGGGTTACTCAAAGTATCCGCGACTTTGCCAGTATTGTGTGAATGTCCGTTAGGGAATGACAGCAAAAAGATGGGCACATTCTGCACAGGAGGGTTTTTTCAGTCTACAGTTAGTGAATGTCGAGGTGTGAAACCCATGGGTGTGGAGAGTTGATTTGTATCATTTATGTAAATGTGACTAGCATTGATTCTAAAGTGAAAATTTCCCTGTGAAAACCTGAACTTTGCATTTTAATATTAAGGTTTTACTTACTTTGTACTATGTGATCTGAAAGGGACTGGGATAATTTTTGTTACTTTCAAGTACCACCCGCAGTTGGCAGCTTGGTCTGACAGTTAACTGTACATGTATTGTACTAATGGAGAAAGAAGTAAAACAAGAAGCCAAGGGAGCGCTGAGGGCTGTGGGCTGGGGAGAGTGTGCACTGGCCCTGGCCGGGGGCCTTCAGAGCGGAGCTAAGCTCTCTTCTTCCTGAGGGATTCGACCTCCGCAGGTCCATTCTTTAGGAAGTGCAGAGCCAGGAGGATGAGGAAAGCCTGGCTCCCTCTCATGCACAGCGATTTAGGGAAACTATCTTAATACGTCCTGTTATTTCTTGCTCTTATGTAATCTGCTGGCACAGTGTTCAGAATTTTTGTTTTTATTGCTCTTTTAAGGGATGTATGTCAGAATTCATACATAGATACGGGTATAGATGTCAGTACTGTGCTTTGTGTTCAGTGCTGCATTTACCAAATCCCAGCACGCTTTACATGAGTAGTTAGCCTAGGTCTCAGTCTTGAAAAAAATAGGTTAACAGATACATATATTAAGGGAATTTTACCCCATGTTAGATATGAGCTTTCTACATAGTCCTCTCCCTCCCTCTTTGAGGCAGGGTCTTGAACTCGAGCTGTATCCATCCCAGGCTGGGCTTGAACTTCTGCCTCTGAGGTCTCTTGCCTCTCAGCCTCCCTTCTGTTGGGATTACAGACAAGCACCACTGTACCTGCTGTAAAGTCTTTTTCTTAAGAGTTGGCTCCCCAGTACCGATAAAAACAAAAAAGACAAAAAAAAAAAAAAAAAGAGTTGGCTCTAATTTTTTTACTTCAGTTTTTCAAGGATATCTTAATATGTAGTTCTTCTGTTTGCTTATACTTTTAAATCTTTGATACATGCTGTATTGCTTTTTTTTTTTTTTGCAGGAATCCACAATGTTGACATAATTTTTATTTTCATGATAGTGAGTTTGAACATAAGGAAGCATATTAACTCTTGCAATATTTTACTGTACCAATTAATTCTATCTCTTTGTTAAAAATAAACACAAAACAGAAAAAAATTGCAAGGTCTCCAAACAGCACATACCTCAAAACTGACAGGCATATTTCGTTTCAGAGCAATTTCAAATACTAAGCTGATCTCAGATTTATTTGCATCTTTGTCATCATCCATTTCTTTTCCTGATTCACCATTCTAAAATACACCAAAGAAGGACAGTACTGAATATTAACATTGTGACAATTTCACATATATTCCACAATCAAGAGAATCCAGCTAAAATAAAAAGGAAATAGCGGACAGACGGTATCCAAAGGATTTCTTTGTAACCACAGTAGTAGAGGACTTTTATTGCCCATCTTTCTGTTTCTTGGTTTTTCATTTTTCTACTTGAAGTAGAAGCATTTTACACTAAACTTGGGAATCTCACTCCTATACAACTCTCCACTAGTTTTCTAACATGATCTACAAAAACGAAGCCATATAAACAGTACAGGACCCAATCAAGTATTGGTGCCCTGTGTCTGGCACAGGTACTATTCATTCACTTAGCACATACTTTCAGGAAACCTCACAATAACTCAGTGTAACTATTAGAAACAGTATTCCTTCCATCAAGAAGCTTGTGATCTAATTGGAAAATCTAAACCGAAATGAATTACAACAAAAGAGTACAATCAGAAAAACATCTAAGTCTGCCATTAAAATAAATCTCGAAGAAAGTTTCAGAAAGGGTAACTGTACAGGTTTAACTTCAGGATTGGAAACAGCTAAGTGGAGAAGTTCAGTAAGGTGACAGTGCTATAAGACATGCCTGAGATAATATTTAGAGGTGAATGGGCAAATTAGCTGATCCCATGAGAATGAGTGAGATCACTCATGAATAGCTTCAACGGCCTTACTTGTAAAATAAACTAGAATTCAAAAATCCATAAAGATCTCTTGCATTTTAAATTCTTTGACTCAAGGTTAATACAATGTAATTTATTCCCAACACATGTAACTTTAAATTTAAAGCAAATGAATGTTAATAACTCTCATCCCTATACACACATCCCAAAATCCTGCCCATAAAGTGAACTCCAGAGGTGAACCAGAGTTCTAAAAGGTTAGGTCATCTTGGCAGGAACACATGAAGCTAGCATAGTAGACAAGCAAATCTTAGTATATTATCACTCTAGTATTCTTCCTTGGCAAAGCAGATTATTTCTTGTTTTAAGATGTATTTATTTGTCTGATCAATAATCTCTCTGGGGAAGTCTACGAAAGAAACTGTTACATGCAGCACTACCACACCTGAGCTGACTTCTCTGGAATAGGCTCATTCTGTAGTGCTTGGAGGGCCTTCATTGCAGCATTGTGTCTTGCAGCTTGTCGAGTCTTTCCTTCACCAAAAAATTCATTATTTCCTACAGTCAGCTGAACATAGAAGATCTTAGGTACTGGGCAATAATACCTCTGATTGTACATGCCCCGAAAGTTGTAATTAGCTCTATAATTTGGGAATGGCTTTGGGTCTAACGGCCTGTAGGTGGCAGGCTCTCCCCTTTTCATAGCAAGCCCATTCAGTTCCACAGTTGGAGTTATACTGCCTGGGTTATTGTTAACATTACTTTTGGGCAGTTTCTGGACTGGCTTGGGAAGCGTAGACTCAGTCAAAGCTTTATTAGCAATGGCTTGCTGGGCCTTCTTTATACTGCTCCCCTCCGATTCCCATGTCTGTTCTCCAAGACTCAGCTGCACTGAGAACATCTTTGAATGAGCAGGCCCGCTTTCATTCAGAAGTTTATACTGGGATTGGATGCTATTGAAACGGGCCAACTCATTTACCAGACACATTGGAGTTTTCTCTTTGGGTTTTGTCATTTTATCTTGGAGAGAAGCTGGTTTATTTGAAGCATATTAAGACAATATTGATCAAACAGTTCTGTATCCCTCAGGGCTCCCAAAACTTCTTGCCAGGGACACTTTGCAGACAGCTCCAACATTAGCAAACACTACAGAGAACTGACCCCGCTCGGCTGCCACTGCTGCCGGCTTCTGCTGTATTGCTTTGTACTTTTTTATTATTTCTTTTGGAAGTGTTATCCATTCTTAAATTTATGTTGTAATTGCCATTTTATGTATTTTGTTCTAAAGGAGTAAATAACTTACATTAGATTTTAATTGTCACACAAGATAATCTGCCACTATGTAAAATTTTATCACACTTTTTCTTACTCTTGAGTGTTCCTTAACTTTTTGAGTAGATACTGTTGAAATTAAACCTTAAAGATCCTATGAAGCCAGTCATGTTATGATTATATTCTTTTCTTTTTTTCTCCTACAGTGTTTCTTTTTTATATCATTTTCATTCTCTTTTGAGTCTGTTCTCAAAATAGTGATTATTTCCTTCTCAAAATACCAAAAAACTACACATTCGAGAATTGAAATAATTGGACTTCTTTTTGTTTTTAAGGAATGATTTATTTATTTTAGAGTATGTTTTCACTAGATTTCATAAGTTTCTTTTGATTGTAATTTTCTAAAGGAAATAAAAGTAACAAATATAAGTATTGTAAATATAAAATACTATGAATTTGATTTTCAGTGCAATGCGTGTTTTACTCTCAAAATTACCAAGACCATGGATTGTGGATGAGAAGAAAGATGATGGTTATACTGCCTTGCATCTGGCTGCCCTTAATAACCATGTGGAAGTGGCTGAACTGTTAGTGCACCAGGTAGGGAAAACAGTTCAATAATTTTGGAATATTTATATTCATTAATTTAATTCTCCATCAAATGCCTATTAATGTGTTACAATAAAACCCATGGTAATTACATGGTAATGACAATTTGAATGTAACGCACGTTATGTCTTCTGCCTGTATTGATCAACTTTCCTGTTGCTGCAACAAAGTACCTGGCACTCATAGCTAGAGGAGGAGAGGTTTAATTTTGGCTCAAGGTTTAAGAGGGTTTAGTCCATGAATACTGGCTCCAGGGCAAAAATGGCTTGGCAGAAGGGTTGAGGGGAGGAAAGCTGCTCAGCTCATGGCAGCCAGGAAGCAGAGCAGAAAAACAGCCTCAAAGAGGAAGGGGCCAGGGACCCAAGGTGACACCTCTATGACTTAGCCAGTGTGCTGTACTAATCCAGGGGAGAGGGTTCCCAAGCCAGTAAAGTTGTCAGTTAAGTTTAACCCTCATCCTGTGTCATACTGCTTCTTCAGTGGAGAGCTGGGAGGGAAGGTCAGTGTGTATGTGTGTGTGTGTGTGTGTGTGTGTGTGTGTGTGTGTGAGGGCAGATGCCTCATTTCTTAGCATTCCTTCTGCACTGGCTTCTTGGGTTGGGTTGATGACTTCCGCATCAGCTAACAGAGATTTCCCAGAATTTCAGAAGTTATTGTAAACATAGCAGTCAGCTGACCACAGGACAAGGAACTATCCCTGGTAATATCTTGGCATGGCCGGTGCCACCACCTCCCACCCCGTTAGACTACAGACCGCAGCCAGGATTAGGGAAGATGTTTGCCACTACTGGCTGTGGGGAAGCTTTTGAATGCCTAAAGGGAGCACAGGTCATAAAGATGCGCTGACGTTACCAGAGAATCATCTGGTGGTACAGAGCAATTTAGTAAGTTGTGTGGTATGTGTAACTAAGTACCAGGTTATCAGATACACATTCCCAAAGTACAGAAATTTAAAGAAATAGTTTATGAACTAAACTACCTTTTCCCCTGCCATTTTAATCCTTTCCTATTAAAGTTACTGCTCTTCGTTAATTATGAAAATGCCTTTTATTCAAGTCTAAATGTCTGGACTTACGGAGAGGTGGTGGTGGTGATGGGGTGTTTAGCTCAGCAGCACAAGCACCAGCCTGGCAAGTGCGAGGTTTTGAGTTTGATTCCTGGTACTCTTCTCCCTCCCAAATAAATGTCTGGACTTACCTGGGCACCACACTGCGTTGGGTATTGTTGCTTTATACTAAATTTGAAATCAGATGCAGTCAACCTCTTCCTGTTTTTCTTTTTCCTCAGAATTACTTTACTAAATCTATATCTTCTGTATTTCTGTACACGTTTTAGAATGAGCTTATTGGTTTCTGTTAAAAAGTGTGTTGGAAATTTGCTCTTCCACATTAGATTTAGCCGTAGGTTGCTTTTGTTGGGATGCTTTTGTAAATTGTATTGTTTTACAATTTCAATTTCCAGTTGTATATTGCTAGTATATGTAAATACAGTCTTTTTTATATTTTGTCCATGTACCATGTAACTTTGCTTAAACTCGGTAGATTTATTACAGATTTCTTAACATATTCAATATAGATAATGTTGCAGGTCAAAAGAATAAAAAATGCAGGTAGGATTACACATGATCAGTTATGTATTTATTTATTTATTTATTAAAAATACTATCGGTGGTCAGGGATTTAGCTCAGTGACTTAAGTGCCTGCCTGGCAAATGCGAGGTCGTGAGTTCCATCCCCAGTACCACAAAATAAATAAATAAATAAGATAATAATAATAATAAATAAATAAAAATACTATGTGCATGCTATGCAAGCGCTTTATCTCTGAGCTGTTTCCCCAGTCCTTTTTTGAGACATAGTCTTGCTAAGTTTCCTAGGCTGGCCATAAGCATGAGATTCTCCTGTCTCAGCTTCCAGAGTGACCAAAATTAGAGACATGTACCACTTAGCACAGTTTATGAATGAATAAATGTTTACTGTTTTTATAAAAGTATATCTTTTGAATCTTTAGCTCTTTTCTTAATTTTGTGTACTTTTATTATCCTAGATAGTGTGCCAGGCAGTTTGACATTACTTTTCCTAGTCCTCAGATAAGCCCTATGGAATAGAACTGAGGAAATGGGTGGGAAGTGGTGCAAAGCTTTCCTTTTCTGAGTCGCCTTGCTTTGAGTGGTAGAGCATGAAGCAAGGTTCCTTGGCGCCCGATTTAGTTCCTTGACTCCTCAGGCCCGCCCTGCCCTGTGCCCGGGCGCCAGCTGCTCTCTGCTCATCCTCAGCTCTCCTAGGATCTTAGGGAGGAATTCCTGGTCTCCTTTTCCTAACTGCTTTTATGTACTAATGAAACATCACCTTTTTCTCAGATCAGGAAGTTTCTTTTCCTTGAATAAGGAACTGAATTATGCAACAGAGGGAGTCAACTTACCAGGTCATTAAAGTAAAATAAGGCCAGTATGAAAGTCCAGTATTAAAAAAAATAAGGCCGGTAAGAAAATCCAGGAGGATTGCTGTAATATTTGCAGTTCAAAGAAGTGAATCACCATTACTTTAAAGTGGGGTTTGAAAGAGAGTTGTGTTTGCGCTCATACTGTGTCTTATCCTCGAAACATTCTTAGATGGAGTCAGCATAATAAAACAAAGGTTTTAGAATATTTGACTTTAGAAAGTTTGCTACTGTCCCCTAGCAATACCTGCTACCATGTGGGGAAAATGTTGCTGCAGCTTGGAGGAATAGAAAGTGGTTGAAGTGTCCTTCGTTACTTTTTCCTATGAATGCAGTTCTCATGTTCTTCTCTGTTGCCACAATTTAACCATTTATAAACTTTGTTCTCGTTCAGGGGAATGCAAACCTGGATATTCAGAATGTGAACCAGCAGACTGCCCTGCACCTTGCTGTTGAGCGACAGCACACCCAGATTGTCAGGGTATGGTACTGATACCACATGTTAGCTTACAGTTGTTTGTTTAACTGCACTGAGCTTTAGAACCTCTTGAAGATTGATAAAGTGTTGGATTTCCTTTTTTGTGTGTGTGTTTTTGAGACAGGATCTCGATGTGCAGTTCAGGCTAGCCTTGAGCTCACTTTGTAGCCTAGGCTGGTCTCTAACTCACAACGATCCTCCTGCCTCAGCTCCCAAGTGTTGGAATTACAGGCGTGAGCCACCACACCCAGCTTTTTTCTTTTTTCTTTTCTTTTTTTTTCAGAACAGAACAATTTAAGCAACATAGTGTTTCACGACAAGACAATCCAACTTAATAGTAGCTACCATAGGCCCGGTGTTTAAAGTGTTGGATTTCTTAAAACAAAAATGGGCTGGGCATGGAAGCACTTGCTTGTAATCCCAGCACATCCAAAGCTGAAGTAGGAGGATCGCTGTGAGTTTGAGGCCAGTTTGGGCTATGTAGTGAGAGTGTCTCAAAAAATAAAAAGTAAGAATTTAAAAACACAGGGGTCAGGGATTTAGCTCAGTGGCATAAGTGCCATCTTGGCAAGTGGGAGGTTGTGAGTTTAATCCCTGGTTCAAAAACAAAAACACATATTTTGCAAAACTTAGGATTTTAGACTAATATTTTATATTAACTGAGTGGGGTTTTAATTTCTAATAGCAGAAATCTCAATTGAGTTTCAAGTCTGTCATTTTACTGCCAGATTTGTTAATCCACAGAATATCAAATTTCTTTTTTTTTTTTTTTGGTACTTGAAGTTATGTACTGTAATGCTGGAATATATGTAGATGTCTGGTCAGGTCAGGATATGAAAAACACAATGTTGTCAATATATGAGTTGTGTGAAAATAATTGATGTTCATCAAAAACATAGTCACAAGTCTCTCCATCAAATAGAACATTTAATTCAAGAATATTTTTGTTAAAGTAATAATAACTGTGGGAGTAATAAAACCCAAAATGTGTAAATGTTATTGTAAAAAAGAGAGGAAAAGAAAGTGGTCTAAAGGACACAACTGCAAGTGTGTTTAGGTGTGTAAGATAAATGACCATATTACTAAGTTTTTGTTGGATCATTGAACTGTTTGCAGTCTCACTGTTTGAATGTCTACTTTGTATGCCTAATTTTGTAACTTGATCAACTATTTCTAAGATGACAATATGTAATCTATTAACTAGTGATTTCTTACTGTTTATTTTTTTTTGAAATTCTGTATTACTTGTACCCTTTTACTGTTTTGTTTTGTTTTTCTTTAAATTAAAAAAAAGAGTATTTTTTTTACATAGATATGGAGCATATATACACCAATAAGATTTAAATCAAATCTAGTGGACCATTCCCAACAATTAAAAAACAAATAGCAAACAAAAACTACTTTTTAGTGTTCTATCCCTCAAATGGGGAAATTTCAAAAAAGGAACCTGCAAACTAGCCTTAAAAGTGCATCCTCTCTTCATACGTGTTATGGAAGGTGAACTAGAGACTAAAAGCTTTACCTCAATGTTTGCTGCTGCAAACTCCAAAAAGGCTGAAATAAAACTTTTTTCTTAGTTTGGGAATTTCAAACAAAATAGTTGAAAGAGTGTCAGATTCAATGTTTCTGTAGGGCAGTGATTCGTAAGGTTTGCACTGAAGCCTCGGTGTCAGCTTCACCGTGAGCTTGGTGGGAACTTTCACTCCTGTACACCCTTGGATCAGCCAGCGTGGGCCCCAGGAAATCTGCTGTCTCATGTTTGAGAAGTAGGTTCAGATACTTACATTTTATGTAATCTGTTGGAACAAAGAAAAAATGTGTAATTTGCTAAGACAAGACCATATACTTGGGATTGGTTTCTATAGATAACATTTTTTCTAAAGTTCTTTGATGGTATGTATTTGTAGAAAAGATTAGGAAAATTGTTAAATCACCATAAGCAAAGCATGAAATAAACTTTATATTTATTGCATAAGTTATATATATTGAAATACACGAACTATGTATTTTTCCTAGTTCAGCAAACACTCCCACATTTATTGTTGTTTGAAATCCCTTTGCTAAAATTCATTTATCTTCCATGGTATTTAGCAATTTTTTTTTTTTGTCTTTTTCACATTTATCGGTACCAGGGATTGAACTCACGACTGCCTGCTTGCAAGGCAGATGCTTATGCCGCTGAGCTAAACCTCCAGCCCCACTTCCATGGTATTTAGACATTCCTTGTGAACTGCACTTTTGGAGAAAATTGACCAGAGAATGGAATCAATAATTTCTGCTTATTTGTTGTTTAGCTAATCGAAGAATTTTCAACATTGTGATTTGGTCCTAGTAGGAGATCTTAACATATTTCATCTGAAAGTGAAATGAGGGGGAAAAATGCTAAGTTTCCCTATTGTCATCTCAATGTAGATTTTTTTTTTTTTTTTTTTTTTTTTGGTGCTAGGGATCAAACTCATGACTTCACCCTTGCCAGGCAGGCGCTTGTGCTGTTAAGCTAAGCCCCCAGCCCATCTTAATGTAGATAAATTAAGCAGTGTACTGATTCTCACTTCTTTCTTTAGCTCTAGTTCCGTGTATTTGAGTTACAGAACACTTGCCTCTTTGTGAGGAGCCCCAGGGCTGTAGCATGGTAGGTAGCAGAGACGCCAGCGTCATTGGCTGGAATGGCCAGTCCCACAAAAAGGCCCAGGGCACGCTCACCATTCCTCGAGATAATGGTGTAGTTTCTAGTGGATATGCGTGCTTTACCAAAATGAGATCTGTTTCTCCCTTAGCTTTTAGTCCGTGCTGGTGCCAAGCTGGATATTCAGGATAAGGATGGAGACACGCCCCTGCATGAAGCTCTGCGGCATCATACATTATCTCAGCTGCGTCAGCTGCAAGACATGCAAGATGTGGGGAAGGTCGATGCTGCCTGGGAGCCATCGAAAAACACAGTGAGTAAAGTGAGCCTTAACCTGGACAGGTATAGCTTCTCTTAAAGCAAGACTTTCTATTTACTGCTATTCTGATCTGTACTGGGAAGAATACTTTATCACAGCTACACACTTGGAATTTCAGTTTATAAACAAAATACTAATCAGTACTAAAAATATTATTCCACAGTCTTACCAAAAATTGTTGAGTTCTTTCTTTTAACTTTAGCCGTTCATATAGGTATGATACCGTATCATATGGTTTGAATTTACATTTTCCTAACAATACTTTCGTTTGTTTGTCACTGCATACACTAGATGAAGTATCTATTCAATTTTTTTTTTATTTTGTTGAAGTCTTTGTTTTCATCTTTTTAATTTTTTGTTTTCATTACTGGGGGATTGAACTCAGGGCCTTCATATATACTAGGCAAATGTTATACCACAGCGACGGTATTTCTTATTGTTTTGGGATTTTTGTTTTATTTTAATTTTTTGTTTTTTTGAGACAAAAGGGTTTCACTGTGCAGTTCAGGCTGGCCTTGAACTTACTTTGTGGCCCACGCTGGCCTTGAATTTGCATGAATCCTCCTGCCTCAGCCTGCCAGGTGCTGGGATTACAAGTGTGCACCACCATACCCAGTGATTTTATTGTTTCAGGTGAGCTCTGTCTGTCTATATATGCATACTGGTTACACAGATTAATGAGTTTCATTGTTGCAGATTTGTATGTGCTATAACATACTTTGATCACACCACTCCCACCTCCTCTTGCTCCACTTTCCCTGCTGTTTTCAGTGTACATAATAGATGTTGATTAGACCCATCCCACTTGTTACTGACCTTTCACCTCCCCGCTTATTCCATTCCTCTTCCCTATTACCTTGTCACTTTGTTGAGATTCCATGTATTAGGCATAGGATACCAGACATACTAAACATGCTGTTTGTTGGAACCTGGCTTATTGTGAGCAACACAGTGATCTCTGGATCCACCCATTTTCCTACAGAAGACAGAATCTCTGGCTGAACAATACCCAGCGTGTGTGTGAACCACGTTTTCTTTATCCATTCTCGTTGCCAGGCATTTTGACTGCTGTAACTGTGTGCAGTGCATGTGAGTGCGGGTGTGCCTGGAAAGTGCTGTCTTTAATTGTTTCAGGTGCATACTGAGGAGTGGTACAGCTAGGTCAAATTGTAGCTCTAGTTTTAGTTTTTTAAAAGACCTCCATACTGATTTCCTCAGATTATACTAATTTATCTTCTATCAGCATCCTTGCTGGCATTTAACATTTTGTATTATTTGTTTTGAGCAGGGTCTTGCTATGTAGTTCAGGCCAGGTCTTGAGTTCACTGTGTAGTCCAGACTGGAGTCAAACTCAAAGTGATCCTCATGCCTAAGCCTCCTGAGTACAGGGATTACAGGTGGGTGCCACCGCACCGCACCAACTATGTAGTTTTGATTCGTATTTCCCTAATGGCTAAAGATATTGACCTTGGTTTTTCATATACTTATTCACCATTTGTATATTACTGCTACTTTTGAGATATGTTCAGTTCATCTGCCCATTTATTGATTGAGCTATTTAACGTTTTGGTGCTTTTTGCATACTTTATATATCTTGGATATTTATCCTCTATGGGAAGAGTAGCTGGGAAAGATTCTCTCCCATTTTGTAGGCTGCCTCTGCACTCTGGTATAACCCTTGCTGTGAAAAAATTTAATTTGATGTTGTCCCATTTGTTGGTTATTGTTACGATACTATTACCTGTCCTTTTGGAGCCCTATTCAGGGAGTCTTTGCCTGTGCCTATGGCTTCAAGTATTTTCTTTTTCGTTTAGCAGTTTCAAAGTGTCAGGTCTTATATTTAGGTCTTTGATTCACTTTGAATTATTTTTTTTTTGCAAGGTAAGAGAGAGGGGTCTAGTTTCAGTCTGATGGGTACCCAGTTTTCCCAGTGCCACTTGTTTCACGAGCTGCCTTTTCTCCAGTGTGGTGTTTTTGCTTTTTCCAGAATCAAATGAGTATGGCTGGTGAGTTTGTTTCTATTCCTCTATTCTGCTCCAGGGGTCTAGTGTCTATTTTCATGCCAATGCTGTGCTGTTTTTGTTACTGTGACTTTGTGGTAATGTGAAATGCAATATTGTGATGCCTGTAGCCTTGCTCTTTTTGCTTAGGATTGCTTTGTGAAAGTTGGCATTGGTATTTTCATTGACATTGCATTGAGTCTGTAGATCACTTTTGTGAATGTGACCATTTTGGCAGTATTAATTCTGCCAGTCTGTGCTCATGGTAGTCTTTCTGCCTTCTGTTGTGTACTTCAATTTCTTTCTTCTGTGTTCTGAAATTTTTGTCTTACAGATGTTTTACTTCCTTGGTTAGATTGTTCCCTAGGTATTTGTTTTTGGAAGTTTTTGGAAGGTATTGTGAATGAAATTGTTTTCCTGAATTCTTTGTCAGCTAGTTCATTATTGGTGTATGGAACAATCATTGATTTTTTTTTTTTTTTTTTTTTTAGTGTTGACTTTATGTACGGCTACTTTGTTGAAGTCATTTATTCACTAAAAGTCTTTCCATAGGTCTTCTAAGGATGAGATCATTAACCTATAAGCAAGGGTTATTTTACTTCTGCCTCTGGTAATTGCTCTAGCTAAGACTTTAAGAACTCTGTTGAATAGAAGTGGTGCGAGTAGGTATCCTTGCCTTGTTCCTGATTTTAGAGAAAAAGCATTCAGTTTTCCCTATTGAGAATGATGCTGGCTTTGGGTTTGTCGTATGTGTCCATTACTGTATTGAGAAGTGACCCATCAACACCTGGTTTCTTCAGAGCTTTCAGAGTGAAGGGATGTTGGATTTCATCAAAGGCTTTTTCTGCCTTAGTTGAGATCGTCATGTGATATTTTTATTCGGATCCTCCTAAGTGGTGTATTGTGTTTATTGATTTACGTATGTTGAACTATCCTTTCATCCCTGGAGTGAAACCAGTTGGATAATGGTGTAAAATCTTTTTAACATGTTGTTAAGTTCAGTTTGCGAGTGCTTTCTTACGGACTTTTGTATGCATGTTCATGGAGGATGTTGGCCTATAGTTTTCCTCTGTTTTTTGTTATCATTGAAAATTTTTGTCCCTGGTGACTGAACTCAAGAGGTATAGTGCTAAGCTACATCCTTAGTCCTGAATTTGATTCCCAGTTTAAGGAAAAAAAAAAAAAAAACAAAGAAAAAAGAAATGATAGCCTTGTTCATAGTGTTCCCAAATGCTTTCCAAGTGCGAGGTGTTTAGTAGACATTCTGTGGTCGAAGGCACTAGGGAGGCCTCGCCCTCCGAGTGGTGCAGATGCATGGCTGAGTGACTGCTTGAGATGAGTCTGCATGTGTTTTCTCTGGGTAGAGGGCAGTCCAGACTGACGGCTTCTCCCTTCCTGCCTTCTCCATAAACATGAGCTTCACTCTTCCAAGAAGGCTCTGAGATGACCCTTTGTTTGATCCAGGTTTCCCCAAGGTGCTTTTGGCTCTAAATGGGTCTCAAACCAGGTTGATACTGCATCTGATGACAGCCATTTTGCTGCTAGATTCTTGAGGTATATGTCTCATGTGGCAGGAGGCCAGGGTTTGGCTGGCTTTCCTGTCTCAGCCTTTGCTTCCTGTGACAGTGTTTTGTTTTTTTAACATGGAGTCTCTGTGTTGTGTAGGCAGGACTCAAACTCTCAGTCCTCCTGCTTTGAGCCTCCTAAATAGCAAGAGTTACAGGGATGTGCCACCAATGCCACCAAGCCCATCTTTTGACAATGTTTTTGGAAGAACAGAATTTTTTTTTCTTTTTTTTTTTTGAGGCAGGGTCTCACTGTGAAGTACAGGCTAGGCTGGCTTTGAACTCATTTATATAGCCCAGGCTGGCCTCGAACTCAAGGTGATCTTCCTGCCTCAGCCTCTTGAGTGCTAGAATAGAGCCAGACAGAGCAACCCTGGATCCATCTGCCTTTGCAGCTGGAGTGAATCAGTTCTCACGCTGCATGCCTGAGGAGACTGAGGGAAGGGAAAGAGGAGTGGGAGTAGGGCGTAAACACGTAAGCGCCCACGTAATCAGGATCGTAGTATCGAGTGTCTAGGGAGTGTGTTGCTAGCAGGTTCCACAGGAACAGTCACAACACTTCTCCTTTGGTTTCAGCTGATAATGGGGCTGGGCACCCAGGGGGCGGAGAAGAAGAGTGCAGCATCGATTGCCTGTTTCTTGGCTGCCAATGGCGCTGACCTCAGCATTCGCAATAAGAAGGGTCAGTCACCGCTTGATCTCTGTCCTGATCCAAGTCTCTGCAAAGCGCTGGCGAAGTGTCACAAGGAGAAAGTCAGGTCTGTATTTATTATCATAAAGCTTGATACTCTGTGCGCAAGATATCATGTGGTTGCATTGTAGGGGAGCTCACTACCTGACAATCTTTGGCTTTGTAGAGGTTTTTGAGACAGGGTCTCGCTGTATAGCCCAGGCTGGCCTAGGACTCGATGCACTCCTCCTGCCCCTGCCTCCTGAGTGCTGGGATGACAGTTTTGTGCACCCAGCCAGCTTAGTTCCTGTATCTTTGTGTGGGCTTTTTTTCCTTGAAAAATTCCCCCCAGGCACAAGTCTCACATTCATGTTGTGCAGCCCTTGCCATCATGTGTGTATCTCTATGGATAGTGAGTTCCCCAAAACTTGCCTAAGCTTGTCTCAGCTTCTGGGGGCTTTATGCTAGAGGACCTTCTCCTAAGAAAAGTTCTACTAGGAAAGTTACTGCGGTTAATGTCTTACACATTGAAAGTGTTCTGCCCGGTGACAGGGTGTATCTTACACGAAGTGTAATGATTCAGCATCTCACATAGAGCCTGGTAGCTGCTCCCAGAATATCAGTAAAGGGTTGAAAGAACAAGTGAGTCTGTTTAGTGTGCAGTTTTTTCTAAAGACGGGCATTCATATCTGTCTTTTTTCTGAAAGTAAAAAAGTGATTTTATTATATATGACATAAGTAATTTTCCTATGTGAGCTATCATGGACCTACAGAAAGGTAGACATCTACTTTCTTACCCACAGAGCACTCTTACTTTATACACCCAGTGGGGCCGTAGCTAGCCTTGGGCCTTTGTGTTCTCTCGCCCCTCTTACAACTCACGCGTGTGATGAAATGGTGGCTCTTTGAAATCTGCACACAGCTATGGTTACAATGAGAGTAAGATGCAAGGCACATACATTTCTTTTAATCTTGCCTCAAGGAGCAAAAAGTCCTATTGTAGAAAGACTTAGATTCAAGGTACTGTTGTACTATTACAATTACTGCAGTAGTGATGGGGAGTCCAGCATGGAACCTCTGCATCAGAGTTTCTGAAGCTCGTTGTAGGAACAAGTCTATTCCTTTTCTTTAGCTGTAATTAGTTATAAGTATTTATACATAGGTACTTCTGTGCCTTGTGTTTATATTGTGTTTCTATAATGCATGTTCCTTAAGGATATACTCAGTGATATGTCCAGAGAGGTTCATGTTCTGTCGTTGGTTAATTAACTAGCATGGCTGCTGGTTGGGATTCTGTTTTATTCCTACGCTTTTGATGAAGATCTGTCCAGTAGAGCTGTCTGATACAGATACGCAAGATGTGGGAGAGAGAGACGCTACCTGAGAGCCACACACACAATAACAGTGTGTTTGTAGAGATGGGGCAGGTCTGGAGTTCAGGTTTGTTTATGTTAAATTATTACTAGTGTCTTTCACTTCTTTAGTAGAGGAGTCACCCTTTTCTGCTGAGTGAGGATGATTCAGTTTGAAGGTTAAATAAAAGTAGATAGGAAGATGCAGAAACATGTATATGAATAAAAATATAATTTACAGGGTCCTCACATAAGGATGGTAACACTTAATTTTTTAAATAACCAGAGTTGTTTTTATGTATACTAATAATACGCTAGATGATTTTTGGAACGTTTGTATTAGTAAACTTTGTTACAGAAACCTTTTGGTGGGCTTGATTTGAGGCGTTTTCTCTTAGTGGTCAGGTGGGTTCTCGGAGCCCGTCTATGATCAGCAATGACTCTGAAACCCTGGAGGAGTGCATGGTGTGCTCAGATATGAAGAGGGACACGCTCTTCGGCCCGTGTGGACACATCGCGACCTGTTCTTTGTGTTCTCCACGAGTCAAGAAGTGCCTCATCTGTAAAGAACAAGTTCAGTCTAGGACAAAGGTGATGAATCTCCTACTCTACATAGTATTTTGTGACGTTCTTGGAGGCTATCATTATAAATTAAGATTATATGGTATCATTTAATTTTGTTCCAAATAATGATTTTTAAATATAGGAATATAAAATTTATATATCTATTAAGTGATCATTTTGGAATTTCTGAACTTCATTACTGCTCTCATTGTACTTATTTTTCCCTGTTCATTACTGAAATTTAATGATACTGTTGTTAACTTGCAGAAAACTTTTTACTGCTGTTTCCTTTTTATATTTTTGCATAGTAGTTTCAAATAAATTATCTACTGTTTTCTGTTAAAGACTTCTATAACCTTTAGGTATATTTTAATTTTATTTTGTATTATATGAAATTTTCTGTAAAATATAAGAACATGCCCGCCCACACAACAGAATTGCTGTGCATACCCTCTGGTTATAAAGAAATAGTGACCCCAAGTGGCTAAAAGGTAATGATCATTGTCATTGAAGGAAACCTGTAAGAATAGCATTTAAACCAGGCCTATTAACACATAGTGGTAATCCCAGCCCTCGGCAGGCTGAGGCACGAGGATCACTGAGTTCAAAGCTGCCCTGAATGAGACTACTTGTGGCTGTGTGTGAGGAGGGAGCACAGTGGATGGAGGAGAGGAGTGAAGCTGGGCGGGGAGGTGGGGCACGGTGGGAAGGGGACCAAAGCCAGGGTTGTTCTAGCTACAGCGCAGAACTCGGGGCTGGTGAGGTTGGGGAGGGCAGGAAACGATGGCTGGCCTGGGAGATGTGTGCCCTCAGCCATCAGTGAGGAGGGAGAGTCCAGAGTGCTGGGCTCCGGCCAGCGTGGAGCCTGACTGTGCCCTGGAAAAGGGGGCTTTTCTCAGGCTGACTTCCGCAGCCGGAGGTAACAGAAAAGTTCTTGGACTTTGGTGAGCCAGTTCATCTGGCTAGATTTTTATTACTGTTGTAAATCTACCTCCTCTTAGTCATTTGTGTGTTCTTTTGTTCCTTATCCTTTTAGTTCCTTTCCAAAGCCATTTTAAAAAAGAAGTTGAAGTCTAGCCCCATGTCGCTGGTCTCGGAGGAGGTTTCTGTACTGTTCTTTAGGACAGGCAGGGAATCCATGCAGCAGTGGTCTTGTTAAGCCAGGGTACCTGAGGATGTAGATGGGAAATCAAGTGGCGCGGAGCCTGGAGGCCGTGCCTGGATGGCTCCCGAGGAGGAGGAGGAAGAGGAGGAGAAGGAGGAAGAGGAGGAGAAGGAGGAAGAGGAAGGCGGCGCCCGCCTCCGCTGTGCACTCACTGTCTCCCCTCTGTCCGCAGATCGAGGAGTGTGTGGTGTGCTCTGACAAGAAAGCAGCTGTACTTTTTCAGCCCTGTGGACACATGTGTGCTTGCGAGAGTAAGTCGTCTTTCTGCAAGTTCCTCCTTGTGATTATCAGAATGGGAAGTGAAACAAAAAGTACACGTGTGAGGGGTTTCGCTTGTTTTGTCTTCTGCACAACTCAGATCAACTGTCCAGGGCCTGGTCCCTCCCTTTGCTCTGTGAGCGTGACAGCTCTATCGCTTTCTGCTCCTGCATGTACTGTGTTCTTGGATTTTTATTTCAGTTGTATTTTTTATCTCTTTTCACACTTAGAAGAAATATAATTCCAAAAAGGAGGATGGAAACATGTAATACAGCCTTTTCTACATGGAAACTGGTACATCTTCCTTGTTTTGCATCTTAATATTGTTTATCCTGTGTACTTGTCCCACCCCAAACATCTCACAGCATCATTTGAAGCCATGATTTCTGGTTTTCCATGAACTGTTATGTCAAGAGGATTTATAAAAATCTTTCCTTTGTCTTTTTTTTTTTTCTTGTTTTGTTTTTTGAGACAGGATCTCACTATGTAGTACAGGCTGGCCTAGAACTCACTTTGTAGCCCAGGCTGGCTTCAACCTCACAGCAGTCCTCCTGCTTCAGCCTCCCAAGTGCTGATACACAAATGTGTGCATCTCACCAGACAAATATCTTTCCTTTGTAAGGATAGTATTGAAGTTGAGATGTTTTTAGACATTTTTTTTTTCAGTACTGGGAATTGAACTCAGGATCTTACGCTTGCCAGGGCAGGTGCTTGAGCGCTGAGCTGTGTCCCTGCAGCCTTTGCTTTTTCTGTCTCCTTCATCTTTCTCACTTTCTCACACTGATATTCTCTCTTTTCCTTTGCTTTTTTTCATTTTTGTCAATGAAAGATTTTAAACAAATTGAACAGTTACACCTAATATAAATGGACCCAATGTAAGTACAGTGTTTCGTGTTACAGAGTAGTTCAGCTGTCTGACTAGAGACACGATTGCATGTTTGTTTAATCTCTTTGGCATAGATTTACTGTAAGCCTTGGTAGCCCCTGTCCCGCTCTGATAGGTAGTTGATTAAAAAGCCAGGGTTTTTGACTATGACATTCTCCCTCAGGTAACTGTTTCTGTTTGCCAGAAACTGGTATAATGTCAAGGGAGCACGAAGAGAAAGAGCTCTGTCTTAAGGCAAACAGCTCTGGTTGCGTAGGTATCCATAGGTCGGAGGCTGACAGACCTTCTATAGAGGCCAAGAAGTAACTATTGAGGGTCTGTAGTAACCGCTCGCCTCGGTCCAAGCACTCAGTTCCCACCCCGGGCCAGGCTAATGCTGCATCCCTTTCCCAAAAAGTCTCTGAGAGGAGTTTGGTGCGGTGCCTGGCTCACACAGCGTCGATGCTGGAGCCACGCAGAGGGAGCGGCTAGGCGGGCGAGGAAGGGAGGAGAGCACAGCCCTTCTGAAGGGCTGAAGGAGAACTGGTAGAAACAGTGAATAACTGAACTTAAAATAGGCGCAGGAGTATTTTAAATAATTGTTGTATATTACATGTTGAGACAATCCTTAATTTAAGAAAAATCTCTGCCCCCAAATTGATGACAAATCCCAGATCAGCCTCAGTGTCTCCCTACTGCGCCTTGGCAGTGCGGTGACCAAGCATCTGGCCTTAGGGTCCCGCCTGGGCTCCGGGCACTCAGATGTGCTCCGGCTGTGTAGCTGTCAGCCTGGCCCCGGCTGCCTGCACCCGCACTGGGGCCTGTTAGGGTTAGGGTAGGGGGGCCGCGTGATCGCCGTGCCTGTCCTCCTGTGCCAGTGAACCACAAAGGGGAAGACCCAGTTTCAAGGCCGAGATATGGAGTAGGTTTTCATATTAAAGGCTAATGCTAGAGAATGTATCGGCTGCTCTTTTATAGTTAATCAACAAAATCACACTTTACTAAACAGTGATTTTTACTACACAGGCTTGGTGTTAGCAGTTTGTGAGAGAGAGCTCTGCCTCGTTACTTGGGGGAGTGAGAAAGCATTCTCCTGAATACCATGTGTAGCCTTGTCACATTATTATAGAAAGATAGTTTATTATAGAAAGATCATGCAAGGATGTTGGTGTTTTCCTGAACTGCTGCCTGGAAGAGGTTGTCTCCAAGGACTTGCCTTGCATTGCACCACTGCGATAGAAGAGAAGTGGATTAGAAAACGTCGTGTTTTCCCAGGCGCTCCACTCTCAAGGCTCCTCGGGAGAACACTGGTTCTCAGGGTGACCGCTCTCTCATCTGGCCTGGGGGTTGTGTACTGGTGTGGCGGTTTAGGGTTTGTCCCGTGCGCGGGTCGAGCTCTGGGCACCGGCAGGGGAGAGAAAGGCAGCCCCGCGCCTGTATTCTGGCTCACGCGGGGCTGTGGTGCGTTTGCAGACTGCGCCAGCCTGATGAAGAAGTGTGTGCAGTGCCGGGCCGTGGTGGAGCGCAGGGCGCCCTTCATCCTGTGCTGCGGCGGGAAGGGTGCAGAGGACACTGGCGACGAGCTCGGTGAGCGGCTGCTTGTTTTGTCTTCTTGTTGAGAACTGCATGAAAGTAACTGCGGTTACTGTTGCCGTGAAAGACCTGATGTGTAAACTCAGACTAAGTGAAATAATGGTGGTTTTCTGGCACCTTTGTCACAGTGTAAGAACCTGAAACTTTATTTTTCTAGCTTGTGGTATGATTGCAGAACTCAGAGCACTGGTCTTTAGAGGAACCTCCATGTATGATGTGAAGAATACTGTAGGTCATGGGGCTTTGGTATGTTTTTTTGCTTTGGTACTGAGGTTGGAACCAAGGGGCACATGGTAAATAAACGTTCTCAGCTCTTTTACGAGAACTTAACTTGGAGACAAAAATCTCCCTTGGTTGCCCCGGCTGGCCCCCAATTTGTGACCCTCTTACTTTAACCTCCTGCGTAGCTGGAATGGCCAGTGTGCTCCACCGTGCTTGGTTGGTTTTCAAAAAAAAAAAACAAAAAAACAAAAAAATGCTTTCTTTAAGATGTAGTTTGGGGGCCAGGGATTTAACTCAGCACCTGACTGGCAAGCTCGAGATTGTGAGTTTGATCCTGGTACCAAAAAACCAAAAAGATGAAATAGGGTGTCCCTCCTCCCTTTCCTCCAAACGCTTCACTGTTGAGTTGCCCGGGCTAGACCTGAACCTGTGATTCCGTGCCACTGCACCTGGCATTGTGTGTGTCTGTGTGTGTGGTGCTGGGATCAAATCCAGGGGCCTCATGCATCCTAAGCACATTCAGCTCCCACTGGTTTGGCCCCAGCCCAGTTGAGTGTACCTTGAGGAAGGACTTCCTCTTACAGATTACTTTTGTCAGTTTACCGAAGTGTTACCCTGACTTCTTTTGTTTGCAAGTTCATTTAAGTAGTTCGTATTTTGTGGAATAGTAATTATTCGGGACAGAGTATCTGTAGATAAGTTAAATTATAACAGTGGATAAGTGGAAGAATGACCAATAATACTGTTTACCTTGACCATGACCTTTATTTTTAGTTTTAATTTTTCTGTAAAACTTGGGATTGAGCCTAGGTCCTTGCTTGTGCTAGATGAGTCCTCTACCCCAACCCTTCAGGTTTCCAACAGTGAAACTAGGGATAATTTTTGTCTTTATAGTAGATATTGGCTAGATGGTTTCTTTGATTTCTTTGTTCGTAGACGTGCTGTATGAATAAATGAGAAACATTATTGTACCTGTTTCTTTCCAAAGCTTTTGTCTTTTTCACCAAAAGAGCAGCAAATTCCAGGGAAAAATTGAAATGAAAGACCAAGACTAAGGAATGTGAAATCAGCAGTTACCTTCCATTTTGTGCACTATTAATGACAATCTTTAAATCTCAGATAATAACAAGAAGAAGAACATTTGGGCATAAAGAAAGGCTAGGTCTTGCCTATCTTCATAAAAATTACACAAGGTATTAATTAGCACCACCAGAACTCTGTGCTGCCTACTTCCTTGGGTTCCTTTGAAATAGGAGCAGAGAAAGCACAAAATGCAGCAAGCAGTGCATTGGAAAGGCTGTGTGTGTGTGGGGGGGGTTTGTCCAGCTGGGTTTAATGTAACTAGAAATTAGTGTGCAAAGCTGTGTCTTTGGACGGTTATGATGAAGGAATGTATTGTGAATATCACTGTATCTGTTGTCTTGATAGTCTTTTAATAATATAGTAATAATTTTAGAAATACACTTATTATGTCAAAACAGTAATAACTAAAAAAAGTCTGTGTCTGTATTTTAGCAAGTGGGAATATTCCAGTGTTACAAAAGGACAAGGATAATACCAATGTCAACGCAGATGTGCAGAAGTTACAGCAGCAGCTACAGGACATTAAGGAACAGGTAATGATTTTGTCATGTGAAACAGTGATTCTCAGAATGACAGTCCTTTGCTCTGAAACGAGTGATATTTTCTCTAGTAAACGTGGGTTACAGTAGTGTATCACTTGTAGTATTTGAATATTTGCGAAGAGTGATAACAGGACTAGGAGATTTAATCAGATACTTTCCCAAATAGAAAATAGAAATGACCAGTAGCCATGAACTAATGTTGAGCCACGTTAGTGAAAGTCCCAGCATGCAGCCTTTGCACACCTGTGAGGTGAGGGCAGGCCTCAGAACTGTTGGTGTTGCTTGGGAAAGATATTCAGAGTGAGACATTAAATGTAAATATGTTTAGTGAATAAATCTGACTTCCTCGAGTGTTTTCACAGGGGTGTAGCTGACACACTGCTAGTTTTCTGAGTGTGTTTGATTCGTGCTTGCTGGTCTGTGCCAAAGTAGCCTGGGTTTAGCTCAAAGCCCTGAGCAGGCTGGCAGGGCAGGGTGGCACAGTGCTCAGAGGCCGGTGGGGCCTGCGCTGAGGGAGATTTAGACCCCAGTGTCCTCGGTGTAAAGTGGCTGTGGTCTGGGACAGAGACTGGACAGTGTGGAACATTGACTGCCGGTGCTGGCTGTGTAGCTGTGCTGTCCCCACCCCGCCACACGGTGCCCATCCATTGTCTTTGTGGTCACAGGTTTTGCTTTCTGTAGGGCTTATTTCATGTAGTGCCTTTTATATTACCGTGAAAGAACAAATCCTTTTTCTGGTTTGGAGGGATGGCATTTTAACTATTTAAAATGTTTGAAAACTATTTTCAGAAAGAAACAAAACACTTGACTACAAGAAGGATAAAAAATAATGATGTATATAAAAAAGAAAATTAATGATGTGACAGTTGTCGTGTGTTACATTTTCAAAATACAAAATGTCTCTGCATTGACTGCTGTGTCACCTCCCATGACAGACGATGTGCCCTGTGTGTCTGGACCGGCTGAAGAACATGATCTTCCTCTGCGGCCACGGGACCTGCCAGCTCTGTGGAGACCGCATGAGTGAATGTCCCATTTGTCGCAAGGCTATTGAGCGGAGGATTCTTCTATACTGAGAAGCGGAGTGTTTTGTTAGCCAGAGTGTGTGGCTGTGACTGTTAGCTTCTAAGCAAGTTGAGAGTTGTAATGAATTAATTTCTAACGTCATAGTTCATTTTCTAAAGGGTGAGACTGTAAATGTACCAGAACAAAATATCTCTACAAAAAAGTGTTTGGCATAGAAATATTGTGGTTTTTTTATTTGTTTGTAGGGGGGAAAGGTGTATTTTTCTTTTAAATTTGAAACATTGTGTAATTTACTTTTGGCTTCAAAAAGGGAAATCCTTTGAGGAGATCCTTTTATGTAGATTCTTACTGCATTTTTTCCTATAGGTTATAAATTTGTCAGACCTCAAAACATATAATTGCACATGATCAGTTATCCTTCAGCTGATTGTGATTTGACACAGTGAAGTGATGTGGGTGCCCTGAACACTCCTGCATCAAATGAAAGGGCAGTCACACTGCTGTGTTGTCACATAATTAAATGACAAGTTTTGGTACAGGTCATGCACAGGGAAGAGAATATTGAAGGAAAGTTTCTATTTTAAAGATAACAAGAAGTTAGCTAAATGTTTGTTTTCAAATTCTGATGACTTTGTATTTAGCTTATTTAATGTGTATCAAATGACTAGTTTCAAAATGACTGATACAAACAGGAAAAACTAAGCAATCACAGTGGAGAACTGAAGGGAGTAAAAACAGTGAACGGAGACCTGTTCCCCACCAGTAGTCACATCTTACATTAATGCACACACTGCTTGGATCAGCCACCCTTTAGGAAACCTGCGGAAGGTGTCCTTGGGTGTCCAAGCCGACCCCTGGTGCGTCTGAGCAGTGCGGGGCCCTTGCCTTGGGCCTCTGGGCGCTGCTCAGCACGCAGGCAGCGGTCCCGCTCCTCTGCGTCGGCCCCTTCCCACAGGTCACGGATCTGCCTGGGCAGGGCCCAGGCTCCGTGCTGTCAGCACCCTGTAATGTAAGGACAGTCTCTCCCTGTACTGCAGGGAAGATACCGGTCGGCTGCCAGCAGGGCCCGGGGTTTTGTGAATTATCTCACAGGGATGGTTATAGAGAAGTAGCCTGCTTCCCTCTAGTCTCTGGTCTTTGGCAGAGGGGCACCCTGTGACTGGAGAGCATCTGATCATTTTCTCTTCTTCAGTGGAGTTACCTTTTGTGACAGGGTAAATGGACACCTAACTAGGAATTTTTGAGTTTCTTGCTGCTAGATTGTTTTTTAAAAAATCATCTGTTTATAATAGTGTCTACTACATACTGTGTATAAATTCACTCCTAACTAGAAAGATTTCTCTTGTAGTTTTTATCCCCTTTTAAAATCTGGCTAGCTTTTATTTCAGTTTTTCTGAAATGAAAACACTACAATACGTCACCATGCGTGGTGGCACATGCTTGTAATCCTAGCACTTGAGAGACTGAGACTGGAAAATCCTCTGAGTTTGAGGCCAGCCTGGACTATATAGTGAGTTCAAGCCCAAACTGAATTATATAGGGAGGCCTGTCCAAAAAAACCAAAATCATGTCTAAGCATAGCACTGTGTTTCTGGCCACTTCACTGCTGTTGCCACAGTGGCGAGCTCTGGTGGCTGCTTTTCTGTTTAAGTCTCAGCAGTCCATATGTATGTCTAGCTGAGAAATTGTTACTGTTTTGAACAGTAAAATTTTCAAATTTGAAACTTTGTGTTGACTCTTCAGTTACCTAATAACAGGCCACTGAGGCTATTTTTAAATACATTTTGAAGTTATGGAAAGGTCTGATCGATGAGGTCACGTGGAGAGACGGCTGTCTTCTCCCCCAGGCCACGCCGCACACACAGCGCAGGGCAGGGCAGGGCAGGACAGGGCAGCCGGGGATGGGGACAGGGTGGGGCCACAGCTGCATTTCACTGCGGCCCTCTCTCTGGCCTTCTGAGTGCAGTGTTCAAACAGCTATTCCTAAAGGCCGCTCTGCCTTCCAGATTCCCCAGATGACAAATGTACCGTCCAGTAGAAGCCATAAAGCCACTGTAATTCTAGTGCTAAATACTCGTGGGTTTTCTGTACTGTATCATTTTGAAATTTGTTTTATGAGTAGAAAGTTTTTCTCTAGTCATGTTTCCAAGCATCTAAAATTATTTTCAGTTTGTGAGAAAGAATCCACTCTACCTCTTCCGACTTACTTGCCCGAGGTGCTTTGCCATGTAGGTGGTGCCCCCTCTCGTCGAGGGCTCTACATCCTGGCCGGAGAGCTTTTCCCCTGCCTAAGGGCATCTTTAAAAATGACCTAGACTCATTCTTGGGCTTCAGGGACTGGTACCTAACATTGGAGGAAAACAAAAAAATGAGCCTCGCAGCACCCTGCCCATGCACTGGGCAGCCTTGGTGCGCTGGCAGTCCCTTGGGACAGAGGGGGCGCCCAGGGTGGCCTTTGACGCCTGGGTCCCGTGCCCCTCGCCGCCCCCACCTCCCCTTCCGCGGGGTCCTTCCTACACATGAGGCTGACCGGCGGCGCTGTGCTGATCGCGTTGGTTCACACACTGACATTCATGCTTGTACCGTGTCCCTAGTTAGTTTTGTTGGGAGCAAGAAGCTCAAAAGAAGAGAAAGTTAGTGTAGGGATATTGTATTAGACAAGTGGTCAGTTATGCTGGGCAAACTATGATAAACTAAGCATTGCACATGGACCGGCTAGCTGTGGAGGCGGACATTAATTGGTAATATTGGAAATAGATTTCTTGGATTTGTATTTCTGATGGCTTTATTTGGAAGAGCATTTTGGCATACTGAGATGCATGCTGCTTACGATTTGTCCAGTTCCAATTTCAAAGCTTCCTCACTGTCTGCCTGGTTGTGTGTTGCCCTGGTGCTGTCCTTGTTCCATTCTGAATCCTGGATGCTTTTTGGACTTGGACTGAAGCTGATGAGCAGAGAGAGTCGGCTTGCGGTGCTGAGGCTGCAACAAGTAGGAAGCGGGAAGTCAGTGTTTGGAGTGCGGAGGAAAGCGGCCCTGTGGGGCCTGCCAGCGCGTGGGGTCTGGCTTAATACAGTTTAAGGCATAGTTTTTTTGTAAGTTACAGATTTTATTACAGCTTGCTTTTTTTAAATCCAAAAGGAAAAGCACTTATCCTCTCAAAGTGTCTAAATGTTTTATAGTAACAATTTGTGTAAACATTGAATTTTGGAATACATGTTTTTGTATTTTTGTATCATGGTAGAAAAAAACAAAATTTGCCATTTTAACTCGAAGTATACAGGTTAGTAGCGTTAGGTACATTCATGTTGTTGTGAAACATCTTGAGAACTTTATCCTGAAAACTGTATCCATTAATTCCTTACCGGTGACCAAGGGAAACCGGGCTCCTGGGCCAGTCAGCAGCTGGTGTTGGCAGGACCTGAGCCTCGGGAGCCTGCAGGCCTGGCCCGGGCTCTGGGCAGCGTTCCACCCTTTGCCTCGGTTGTCTTTAACAACGGAGTGGGTTTAAAGGTCTGCTAATCGGGGTTTATTTCAACCTAAGCCAAGACAGAGAAACACAGTTTAAATTCAGGACTAAGTTAACATTAAATTTATACTGAATTGGGAAGGTAACAGGTTGTCACCAGTGATGTGTGCCTTGTTAGAAATGTCAGTCATCATTAAATCCACTTCTCAGAGTTTCACAGCAACTTAATTTCACTTGCTTGAATATTATGATAGGAAAGCTGGCTGATATACTTGATTTTTTATGTGTGTGTGTGTGTGTGTGTGTGTGTGTGTCTCCTTGGAAGCTTAACATATAATGGTAGCAGTATTATTCATTAGTTGTACTTCTTCAGAATGCTGAATTCGCGGTAGCTGTTGGATGTGGCGTGGTGTGTGTGTGGTTTCCTGTGGTGAGGGCGTGCGGGCATCCTTTAGGCTGAGTTGCAGTGTACACCTGCTGGTGGTGGGGAAAGTACAGGAGAGAGACGGGCCCAGACAGCGGGCTGATGAAGTTACATTGTCTGTTGCTACGTTAGCATTTTCTACCTCCTTTTCTGCCAGAGTATTACGTTTTCCAGCGTGGATTCTTACTTGTGAATAAGGAGGAAGTGGGAACTACAGAGGTTAAAATTGGAAGCATTGTTGTGTTGAAAATTACAGTGCAGTGAGTACACAGAAGTGACCTGTCACATACATTTGGTGCCTGAATCCGTAGCTGGAAGTGACAATTGACATGCACAAAATACCAAGAAAGGTGATACTGCCAAATATTTTAATTTTCCTATATCCTCTTGATTTCATTTCATAAACATGGCTAGTTTCCTCCAAAATGCAAAATGGCCTTGTCAGTTTTTCTTTGCCTTGTCATTTTTAATAAAATAAACATGCCACTTTGTCTGAGGTACATGATTTCAGGAAGCTATTGAAAGTTCTGACTCAGGGCTTTTTAACAGTTTAAGCAGCTGTTAATTAGATTTTGGAAATTCCATCTGTGTAGTTCTTCAGTGCCTTGAAAGAATTACTAGGGTGGCAGCACCATTCAGACTGGGAAGTGGGCTCTCAGGCAGTGTGTCACAGTGTGTCACACACGGCCTGCGTCACACAGCCTCTGTACCGGCGACCCTGCGCTGTGCCAGGTTCATGGCATTCTTTAGGGGAGGACTTAGGTTTGCGGTTGATGCTGCTGTTTGTTTTAAACGGATTACAGTGGCCGCCACTGTCCCCAGAAGAGAGAGACTGCGTTATGCCTGTGCAGAGGCCTGGATGAGTGGCTTCTGGGCTGAGCGGCATCCAAGGAGGTCAGCTTGGGCAGCAGACTGTCTCGCGTGTAGAAGCGAAAAGCCTTTGTTCAGGTGATTCACTGTAAAAAACATACTTCAGAGGAAAGTGCGAATTGCATGTCATTCTTAATGCTGGTCTTAGAGACTAACGATAAAGTTGTTTCTAAGTTTTGTATAATTGTGTCATTCTGAATGCAATGTATTCACTGAGAGAAGTTTGCTTTGTATGTTCTCCACTGTCAGCTTTCAATGTTGGATTAAATTTAAAGTCTTATGTGTGGGTATAGTTTCTGTATGGCAAACGGTTCTTGCTTAGTAGCTTTTGTTTAAAAATGCTTAGCAAAAGCTAAGCTTTTAAAAATAGGATGCAAACATTTACCATTAATAAAAGCTCTGGTATAGTATCAGCACTTTTTTTCTGATCTTTTGGAAACTGCTCTTTGTAGTATATACATGAATTTTTATTTTGAAGGCCTCTAAAAACAAATCTCACCATATCCATGAGCGCGCCCGTCTCTAGGTCAGCGTGAGATGTCCGTGACCCTGCTTGTGAGTCCCCAGGCGTGTCAGCTCTGGGGCCTCTTAAGGACCAAAGAAGCCTTTTTGTATTTTAACACCTCCATGTTCTTTCAGACTTGGGATGTATTATGAAAATGGTCTGAGTAGGATAACTGGATAAGAAGTAAATCAAATAGGAAGATTCAACTTTTTTTTATTTTTTGGAAAAAAAAACTAACTCCCCTTCCCACCTTAGGGTTAGGTAGGCGGTTTAGGGCATTGGGTTATTTGCCTTTTAAAACCGTGGTAGTCATTGAATAGCTTGGGAGCTGTTTTATTTTTCAGGTTAACAGAAGCACTTATTTGTGAAGTTGTCAAGAGGTTGTCAGGTTCTAAGGCAAAAGAAATGTATCTTGGATGTTTAAAAGGAAAAACCTATCTAATGCAGAATTTTCCGTTCATTTGAAAAACAGCATATGTATTCAACTCTAAAACTACATTTATTTTGGATAACCTCTGTGCTTTTTGTTCTGTTGCTGTATAATTAGATATCCAATGGTGATATTTTTATTGAATTGGAACTGTACAGGTTTTTAAATAAAGCATTTTAGAAACCCGCAGTGTGTTTTCTGGGTGGCAGCCGCAAGGTCGCGCTGTGCAGCGGCCGCAGCCGCCCAGGTGCCGCCCGGGTGGCCTGAGCGAGGCCTCTCTGGTCGGGCGCAGCCGGCGGGAGCTCGCGTGTCCCTGAAGGCCTGAAAGAAGCCAGGAGCCCTGGCCGAGGAGGCCAGGCCCGAGTGTCCGCGCGGGGCCGCTCCGGGGGAGGTTAGCCCGGAGCGAGTGCGGGCCGGGCCGGGGCCGGGGCCGCCCCGCCGCACACGCCGCGGCCAAAGGACAGAGACACGGACTGGACTCCTCTCCGTCCCGCTGCCCTCCGCTCTGGCGCCCCACGGTTCTGGGCGGGCGGCCGCCGCTGCCCTCCGCTAGGGGTCAGCAGAGTCCCGCCCGCCCCGCGGGAGGCTCGCGCTCACTGCCCGCGCCCAGCCTGGCGCTCAGCTCCTCCCCGCGGGGTGCAGGGTGCCCGCGTTGGGGACGGAGCGCAGGAGCGAGCGCCCGCGGTGCCTCTGTGTGAAGTGGCGCTCTCGCCAGAAATTGCGGCGCAGCCAAGCGTGGTGGCGCCGACCCGCAATCTGAGCGCTCGGGAGGCTGAGGCAGGAGGGTCACAGGAAACCGAGAGGCCAGCCTGGGCTGTGCAGTGAGTTCAGAGGCACCCTGAGCTACTGAGACTGTTCTGAATAACAGGAAAAACAGCTCCCCGCCCTCCGCAGCACTGGGTATCTTGGTCTTTCACAGTAGCTGGGCCTCCTGGGCTGAGAAGCACCTCGGCCTGGTGTTAGCTTGCCTTTTCCTGGTGATAGGCGTACGAAGCGTTTTTCCCACACTTACCCTCCAAACTCCTTTGAGAAGTGTCTCTCGGCTGCCCTGTCCCCTTGGGATCCGCGGGGTGGCCGGTCTGTTTGCAGTCCAGGCCTCTGCTTTCCTTGCATGCCCGGGTGTGAGTCCCTCGTTGGAGGAGGTCAGACGCTGCCCGCTGCCCCTGGGGTTTGGGTCCCACCTCCCGGCAGCTCCGCGTCCTCAGGCTCCGCTGGGATGGAGTGCGGCTGGCTGCTACTCCACAGCGGGCCTGTTATAAACAAGGTGACAGACCAGGGCCCTTGGTCACCGCGGGGCGCTGGCGCTGGCGCTCCATAGGTGCGGTGAGAACCCAGCCTCTCCCGGCCGGCTCTGGGCGGCCTAGACTCCGACCTGAGTGGAGAAGGTGGCTGCTCTCCGCAGATTCTCACGGTGTCCCCTGGACTGGGCGCTGGCCAGGCCACGCCCATCACTGCAGCACATTTTCTTTCTTAGTGGACTGTTTAAAAGCCTGGTTTTTGGGGCTGGGGATTTAGCTCAGTGGCATAAGTGCCTGCTTGCAAGCAGGTAGTCGTGACTTCGATCCCTGGTACCGATAAAAACGAAAAAGACAAAAAAAAAAAAAAAAAGCCTGTTTTTTGCCAGGTGTGGTGGCGCACGCCTGTGATTCCAGCACCCAGGAGGCTGAGGCAGGAGGATCTCCTTGAGTTCCAGGCCAGCCTGGGCTACACAGCCCCAGAATTCTTTACTACTGTGTGGACTGGACCTCAGTGCTGAGCTGGCCAAGCCCTGCTATACCTCCCTTGGGAGGATACTGAGAGTTGTCGTCGGGTCCTTAGCGCAACGCTTTTACCCTGGCCGGCAGAGCCCCTGTGTCTTGGCGCACCTGAGATGGCACATGGCTCCCGGCCTCAGCCTGGGGTGGGGAAATGTCGCCCCCTTTAGGTAAATAGCAGCTCTGCCTTCCATTGCTGGGCCCAAGCTTGGCGCCCCCTTCCTCCCTCTCTCCTTTTTACCTTCTTTGGACTTGGCAAACCCTGTCTCCTCTCGAGATCTTCCCAGGCTCTGACCGCTTCTTGCTGCTTCCTCTCTCCCTAGAAGATGCCAGGGCTCCTCAAGAGCAACGCTTTTTCATGTAAATCAGATTGTCTCCCCCATCCTCGAAGATGTTGCAGTCTTGGAAAGAAAAAAATTATGTAGTGGTACCCACACCAGAGCAGCTCCCTCCCCAGCCTCCCGAGCCCCCCTGCTTGGCTCTGCTGTCTGCTTCCTTCCTCTGTCTTGATTGCACCTAGTCCCCTCCTGCCCCAGGACTTTTGAGCCTGCCATCTTCCTGCAACTCCCCTGCTATGGGTTGCCTTCCTAGACTTTTCCCTCATCTCTCCAGCATCTGCACAGAGTCTGTGTCACCCTGGGGAGTGGCCAGCCCCCTTCCCTCCCTGTCCACCTTGCTCCCTGCCTCTGTCAATTTCCTGCCTGTCCTCTCTCTCCAGCAGCTGGGACAGAGGTTGTGTCCTCTGTGCTGGGACAGGGTCTCGCACGTGCAGTGAGGAGTCGTGAAAGAGGGTCAAGGGCAGGACGGAGTCCCCTCGGGAACCAGAGGGAGCAGCCATGTTAGGTGGCCGTCACTGTGGGTGACAGCTGGCATCCACCGGGTACTCCGCTGCCCTCGCTGGGTTAAGGGTCCTCCTGCATCATTAAATCTTTCCAGCCTCAGGTCTCAGGGACCCAAGACAGATGGTGTGGCTGTTTTAGCAGTGTTTATCATTTTAGTGAGAGGGTGCTGACCCCAGGAAGGCCGGGAGGCGGGGGAGCGGGGTTATCTCCTAGTCTCGGGTTCCCCCTCGTGTCCCCAGACCCAGACCTGTTGCACTGGCGCTGTGTGCCCCCAGGGTCACCTCTGGCTTGTGCCGGCTCTGGCTTACCCACGCCTGGCGCCTGGCGACTCCAGGCCTGTGGCCACCGGAGTCACTGCAGCCAGGGCTCTGGATCTGGAGGTAGAGAGGACCTAGAGGAGCTCTGACCTCGCCCAGCCCGCTTTGGCTTCGACCCTTGTTCTTACTTATTTATTTATATTTTGGAGACAGGGTCTCCCTAAATTACTCAGGCTGGGCTTCACTTTGTGATTCTAACTGCCTCGACCTCCCAAAGTACTAGAATTACAGGCATGAGCCGCCAGACCCAGCTAAGTTCTTTCTCTGGCATAGAAGGAAAACCCTCAGAAGGCAGGCAGAGAGCAGATAGCCTGCCTGCCTCTCATTTTCTTTCTCACTCTCTTTCCTTTTTTCCTGTTCTTTCCTTTTCCTCTCTCTCCGTGTCTCTGTGTCTGGCTGTCTGTCTGTCTCTCTCTCCAGGGTCTTGCCTGCGTAGCCCACGCTGGCCTTTAACTCATGGTGACCTTCCTGCTTCAGCCTCCTGAGTGCTAGCGTCCCAGGCATGTACCACCATTTCCGTTCTGCTCCTTTTCAAGGTGAGTGTGGCATGCAGCGGCTCCTGCGAGCTGCCAGGCGCCCGGTTGTCTGTGGGTCCGAGCTTTGAGGAGGATTTGGTGGGACAGAGGCCGTACTTACTCTGGTTTTGCCAACTTCTTCCTGCAAAGCCAACCCAGCTACTTTACTCAGGTTTTTAAAATTCTACGGGGTCTATTGTTCTCCTGAGTGGGGTGTGGGCCTGGGCTCCCATGACAGTTGAGTAACAGTGTGCTCGGGAAATGAGAGGCCTGCCTCTCGCCACAGCAGGGCCTGGGCTGCTCACTGGCTTTTCGTTTTTTCCCAGACAAGATCTCACCATGTAGCCCAGGCTGGCCTCGAACTCACAGTGACCCTCCTGCCTCAGCCTCCCAAGCACTGGGGCCACAGGTGTGTGCCTACACGCCCAGTCTCTCTGTCAGAATCCAGCCTCACTGCTCAGAAAGCCTGAGCTGGAGGAAAAACATCATCTGTGAGCAACAGGCAGACAGAATAGTTCAGAACGGTGGTAAAAAATTTTTGTTTTCCTCATTTGCAAATTAAAAGGGAAGAAAGGCAAAGGACCAAGTGGTGATAAATAACTTCCTCTTCATTTTTATTTAGGCTTTTTTGTTTGTTTGTTTTTGTCTTTTTGAGACAAGGTCTCGCTATGCAGCTCAGGCTGGTCTTGAGCTCACTTTGTAGCCCAGGCTGGTCTCAAACTCTCAACGATCCTCCTGCATCAGCCTCCCAAGTGCTGGGATTACAGGCGTGAGCCACCACGTGGGGCTTAGTTTTGTTTTTTGAGGTAAGGTCTCCTTATGTAGTTCCAACTGGTCTTGATCTCCCCATATAGTCCAGGGTGTGCTGGAACTTTCTGTGATTGTCCTGCCTCAGTCTCCCCAATCCTGAGATTACTGCATGCACCACCATGCCTGGTACCATGAAATGCCACCTGGTTTCAAATTAGTGCTCATTGTTGTTTTCACCGAGGAAGTCACCACAGTTATAAAATGTTCTGGTTCCAGAATCCTTTCTGCTTGTCAGAAGCGCATACCGGGGTTTCTGGGGAGCGTCAGCCTGTGCGTGGTGGGGCCGTGTGTGGTGCCATCGAGGCCGCGTCTGGAGCAGATCCGGACCCGGCCGAGCCTGGCCCGGAGTTGTTGGGCCGGGAGAACCGAACTGGATTTTGCCGATGAGCGCAGAGCATGCTGCGGGCCTCCAAACTGGTTTCCAGACGCTGCGCCTGACCTGGGGAGCACAGGAGGCGCGTGCCTGGGCTGCCCCCTCCTGGACGTGAGCGTGGCCGCGAGAGACGGAAAATCAGGCAGCGTGCGGTGAGCGAGGCACAAACTGTCACACGTTCAGCTGCCGCCAGGGGCCTCGTCTCCCAGCTGGGGGATCCCTGGGTCCTGATGCTCCAGAACCTTCCAGGAATCTCTTCGCTGTCAGGACTGGAGATGAGCCAGTGGGGAGCGGGCGCTTCTCCCCTCCACCACCTTCGGGAAGGCGCCCAGCACGCAGCCCGGGAAGTGCCTGGCCTGGCCGCTGCTTAGGTGTTTCTCCTGGTGACCCGGGGCAGCAGTGGCCCCTGGAAAATCTTAGAAACTTTTGATCTGGGAGGAGGGGTACACTGATGCCTCGCACTTCCTCTTTATTTTTATTTTATTCTATGTGTGTTTTGAAACAGGGTCTCACTATGTAGCCCAGGTTGGCCTCAAACTCACAGTGATCCTCCTGCCTCAGCCTCCCAAGTGCACAAC